ACGCCGCGGGAAAGTGGCGGCCGCTCTGGGCCACGCCGAGCGGCCACGCTGGTGTGGAGTGTCCGGAGCCGGGCAGTGCACGGCTGCCCGGGGCTGGGGGTGGGGAGGGCCGTGCGCAGCATACTGAGTCTTTACGGGGTGAGGAGAATGTTCTGGAACCGGGAACGCACTGAATGCCCCATTGTCCACTCTGACGTGGTTCACTTTATGTTCTGCGCTTTTCGCTTCCACTTAAGAAGGCGTGAAGTGAGCACTCGGACACGGTGGAGGTCGGGTCAGGGGTGGGCCAGGCCTGCCCGACCCCCAGGGCCCCCAACGCCCCCCACCCACGGCTGGCTCACTCCTCTGCTGCCAGGTGCCCACAGCCTCCCGTCCCACCCCGTCCCCTCAGGGAGCTGCCCAAACCCTCCTGGGACAGGGGCCACATCCACAACAGAGAGTCCTGTCCATCGGGGCCAGACACCCCAGCTGCTCACACCACGGGGAACTCACTCCTCCGGTGGGGGCCCTCAGCACGGCCCGGTTGGTAAGCCCTGGGCTCCTTCTGGGAGGCATCCCAGCCTCCCGGCCCACAGGGACTCCGGCTCCAGGGTCAGCCGCGGGCCTGGGGTGGGGCCTCAGCCAGGCATCGGAGGACACCCTGGCACCAGTCTGCCTGCCCCCATGCCTGCCTGGTGACGCAAACGGGGTCCTGCACAGGAAGGAACCTCAGCCGGGAAGGCGTTCTGCTGAGGTAACAGGATGAGGCCCGCAAACAGCACTCAGGGTGGCGGTCCGCGTGCCCAGGGTGTCAGAGGCCTCTGACACCCTCACCTCCCAGCCCCTGGAGGGAATAAGCAGCAGGATCCGGCAGGATTCTGGGGTTCCCAGGGCGGGGCTGGGGGCAAACAGGAGGGAGGCCATGCTGTGGGCAGAGCTGGGGCTGGGGGGCCTGGGGGGCAGAGGCTCTCCACAAAGGTTTGTCTGTGGGCCCAGACCTGGAAGTTGCTTCCACAAGGAAGGGAGTCCCGAGCAGGACTCCGCGACCCTCCACCGGGTCTCTGCACTTGTGTGGCCGGGACCCAGGCCCCTCTGCCTCCTCCCTTCCCCCAAACCTCAGAGGCCAGCCTGACAAATGAAAGGACAGACCAGGGACTGAATCGGAGCCCTAACTTGTCTGCAAGGGAGGCTCCCGGTGCGGGGGTGGGAGCAGTGGCTGGAGCACACGTGCTCACACACGTGGGCTCAGACACACCGGCCTCCGGGCCCCCAGGCCCCGGCACGCCCACCTCCCCCTCCCCACCGCCCTGGCCCCGGCCTCCCATGGTGAGAGCCACACCTGCAGGACTCATTCCACCCCCCAAGAGCTGGCGCTGCATCCAGAACCGTCGCGGACAGCCGCCAGGCGCATCTGACCACAGCCAGATGGGGAAACCGAGGCCCTCCCTCCCCACCTCCGAACCTGATTCTGGGCCGGGGCGCAGCGGGACCCCACCTCCGCAGCTGCCCAGGCGCCACCCCCCAGCAGGCAGAGAGGCCCACGGGGCGTCTGGGTGGGGAGACTGTGCCCCACTGCCCCCACCCCAGAACCTTCCGCTCCTCCTCAGCCCCGAGGCCCGGTCTCCTCACGTGCCAGACAGAGCAGGGCGCCGCCTGCTGCAGGACAGAGGGGGCCGGAGGTGTGCGGGCCCGAGGCCGGCGCTGAGAGACCCCGGCGGTTGGTGGGGATCGGGAAAGACAGGGGGCTGGGGATGAGAGGCGAAGGCACTGCCTCCTCCAAGAGAGGGCACGCGGGGGTCCCAGGGCGCGGAGGGCCAGCTAAGGCGGGAGCCCGAGCCCGCCAGCCCCCCGCCGCGAACACGCAGCTCAAAGGCCCGGCCCGGCCGCCCCGCCGGGTGCACGGGGCCTGCTGGTGTGGCTGCGGCCGTGGGCCACGCGGGGTCACGGCAGCCGCTCACCTGGAGGGCTCCTTCCCGGAGCCCGGACCACAGGCCAGGGCGGCCGGGCAGTTGGCGCGGCCGGTGTCAGCCCCCCTGCCCGCTGTCAGTGTGGGTCGGGACCCGAAACCTCCCCAGAGCCCATGAGGGGGACCCTCGGGCTCTAACTCCCCAGGGGCAGGAGGGCACCAAGGGCGCCTGGGGCTTCCTTCCGGAGAACGCGGGAGGGGGCGCACCACGTATGCACACACGCACACTGACGAACAAATGCACGTATGTTTGCTCACACACACACGTTCACACGTGTTCACACGCTCTCACCATGCGCACCCACCACATATTTCTATGTCCTCACACTCAACCACCTGCGTGGGCACGGACACGCTCACACGGACGTGCACACACACTTGCACACCCAGACACGCACGCACGCTCTCGGCAGCACGCACTGGCCGTCTGGGGGTACGCCCGCCCCAGGGGCTCCGTCGGGATCCCGCCCAGGACCCACCACAGGGCCCGCGGAGCAGCCGCCCCGGCCCCGGCCCGCGTCGGGCCAGCTCGACACCAACACAGGGACGGAAGGAAGTTCCGCAATCTCCACACTGCCCAGTGACACGTGAGAAAGCCCAGGCCTGGCCACCAGCAGCGGCACCAGAGGCCCCCTGCGCATGGGGACCGCCCCCCCCGTGGCGGGTCCTGGCGTGGGGGCTCAGGGGGCTCGGGGTGGGCACGGGGAACACGGGTGCTGCTTCACATTCCCCCCTGACTGGCACAAGGGCCCCCCCACTCGGCCCCCAGCCTCGTCCACCTATCCTCACAAGACATGCCTGCCCGGGGACCCCACTCCCCCGGGGGCCTGTGGGTGACAGTCCTGACCATTTTGTTCACCTGGAGACCTGCCCTGGCACGTGCTGGACACCAGGTCACCCCGAGGGACCCGAGCTGGATAATGAGTCCCTCTCTTGAGCTTGGCCAGGGCGGGGGGCACTGGGGGACAGCAGCTCGGTAGAGGTCAAGGGGCCACCAGGCTCAGACTCGCCCCAGCCACCGATTTCCTGCCATCCTTGGCGCCAAGTTTCTGCCTGGACCCCACGCGGGGCAGAGTTGAGGTGAGGCCGGCTGGGGAAGGGGGGTGGCAGGAGCATTGCCCAGGCCAGGGGTGGCCTCAGCCTCAGGCAGGAATGTGCCCATGGGCCTGGCAAAAGGAGCCAAGCTCTGCCTGCCCAGAGCAGGCTCCACCGATGGGCCGGGACAGCCGCCTCCAAGGCTAAGTGCCCTTGAGGACCCAAGTGCCAACCCGGAGGTCGGGGCAGAAGCTGCCTCTCGGCGGGGTGGGAGGGGGCTTCTTCAGGCTTCTTCCCAGAACAAACAAGATGGCCCAAATGCTGGAAACGAGGAAGGGAGAGGGGGAAGGGCTCGACACGTTGCGTTGGCCGGCTCCTGCCGTGCCGTCTCCCACGGTGGCCCATCCAGCCACCAGCATGGCGCCACGGAGCTCGGACTCTGAGACGCACCACCCGCACCTGCCCGAGGGCTGGGTCCCAGAACACACAGATACCCCCCAAGGTGATAAGGGAGAGGCTCAGAGGGGCATTCACGGAAGAGATCTCCACGGCGGGGGGGGCCGGGCAGGCGCCAGGCAGTCGGGCGGCCGCGCCCTGGATCGGCCACGGTGAGAGGCGGACACCGAGCGCTGGGAGCGAGCCCCGACACGCGAACCCAGGGACACAACGAAGACCCGCGCGGCACCGTTTGCTGCTGTGACATGTCCTCGTGGGGCGACCCCTCCATGCCTGCGTGGGCCGGGGTGAGGGAATGGAGCGGGACTGGCAGGGCGCGTGGCTTTGTCCCCGGGGACACAAGTGTTCTAAAATTGGTGGTGACGGCTGCACAAGAACGACAAACCCACTGAAGTACACGCCGCGAAGGGCTGAGTCCTTTGGAATGCGGATCGTATCGAACGAAACGGTCAAAGAGGAGTGGGGGGCGGAAGGCGACGACTGGCCACAGCGGGGCCGGCGAACGCACAGCGCTCTGTCCCCGGGGAAGTACTGTCTGCGAGTGAGCGAGGCACGCGACACGCAGCCCCACCAGCCCCACCAGCGCCGTCGACGTGAGGCTGAACGAGAGCAGGAGAGGCACTGGGTGCAGCGTCCCCACAGAAGTCGATTCCCTTCTTCCCGGGGCTGGAGGGTATCCCCGGCGGGTCTCCCCGCGAGCAGAGCCCGGCCGCCTGCTGGGGACCACAGGCGGCTCCAGAGCCCCGGGCAGCTGGCGCAGGCGCCAAGCATTATAGTCACTGCATCCGTCTGCAGGTGGCCCCTGCCCTGGACCCTCCCAGCTGGGGCCTGAGGCTGGCCCGTGGCCCCGAGCAGCACTGACTGCAGAATCTGCAGGGCCCCGTGCAAAACGGAGTCCCAGGGCCCCTTGTTCAAAATCAAGAACTTCAGTGTGGCGGGAACAGGGCGTGAAGCCCTGCGGGACCCTCCCCAGAGCTGGACACCCAGCGAGGACTCCTCGATGTAGGACAGTGTCCTCAGCACCATCCTGCTGCCCGTCTCCCACGCCAGCCTCAGCACCGGGGAGACGTCAGGAGAGGCCGGGTCTGGGGGCCCAGCTGCCCTGCTCCCAGCCTGGCTGACACGGACGGGCAGGTTGTCTCCCTGGCCAGCCCCAGGCCAGCTGTCGGGGCTGCCCGAGGCCATGTGCCTCGGCAGGTGGGCGGCAGCTGCGCGGCCCCCTCCTTGTGGGGAAGGAGGGGGCACACCACACCCTCGCCAGGGGTGAGCCAGACCAGACCCGGCCGCATCCCGCCGTGAGAGGTGACCTGTGGGGCCCCGCCCACCCCTCCAGGCGCCGGGACCCACTGCCGCACCCCACACACCCTGTGACAGGTGAGTGACCCCTAGGCTGCCCAGAACCAGCCACTGCACCAGCCCTGCCCATTCCTCTCCTGCCACTTCCTCCGCCAGGGCCGGAGCCGGGGCCAGAGCCAGGGCCACAGCCTCGTGACGACAAGCCCCTGCCCCCCCGGGGCCAGAGGGGGGGACAGCGGCCCACGTCCTCCCAGAAACCCCCACATACCCGGCTCTGGGCGGCCGCTCCCACATGGGTCCGACTGCTGGTCTAACCCCAGGATGACCATCTGGAGACCCTCCACCCCACTCTGGGCACCCAGGCACCCTGCCTCAGCCCCAGGTCCCGGCAGAGGAAGCCAGGGGGCTTGGCGTGGACACGGCCCAGACAGGCCGCTTGGGGACTGGCTCGGGCCCGGCCTCCCCTGCCCTCGCTTCCTCTGCCGCTTCCTCTGCCGGGGGCGGGGAGGCTTCGGGCGGCCGTGATGCCGGCGCCCGTTCCCATGCGAGAGGCAGGCCGGGCCCCGTGGATGCGCGGGTCCCGAGGCCGCCCGCACCTGGGTTCCCTCATTTTCTTCCCAAGACTCCGCCATGTGTACAGAGGTGAGGCCAGCTGAAGGCGGGAGGCAGGCTGGGGGCTCCCTGGGGAGGGACCCGGGCTGCCTGAACAATTCACAAGTGGGGGGAAGGGGGGGCAACAACAGGCCTGTGGGTTCTCTCAGCGCCGGCGGCCAGGAGCCCTCCGTCAGGGCCCTGCTCCCTCCGGATCCTGCCAGCTTCTCCCCGCTTCTGGAGGTGCCCGGAAGCTTCCTGCTCCCCCAACCCCCATTACTTTCTCCCGTAAGGACCTCAGCCACTGGACCTAGGCCCACCCTGAACATGACCTCATCTTAACTCCTAACATCCACAGACTATTTCCAAACAAGGTCCCACCCCAAGGCTCCAGGTGGGCAGGAATTTGGGGGGATGCTATTATATCCAGGAGCCCACTGAGGAGGGGAAGATGGGGTCCATGGAGGAGTTTCCCAGATAAAAGAGGGGTGCACGCACCCCAAGGCAATGACCGCCGGGGGAGGACCAGGCTCAGCCCGCTCTAAGAAAAGCTCCATGGCCGGGTGAAGCAGAGCTAGCCTTTGAGGACCAGCCACGAGGACAGACAGCTCTGTCCACAGGACTGAAATGAGAGCAGTGGTGGGGGCTGGGGCCCAAGCGGGGGAGGCAGGATCTGGCTCTCCCCTCAGCCAGGACCCCCACCAGGAAGCCCTAGTGCTCCCCACCCAGGCCAGCAGAAGTCAACAGCAGAATGGGGCTGTGGGTTCACCCAGGAGGTCAGGGCCACGGGCGCAATGGGCCCTGGTGGGGGCTGAGTGGGCCTCACAGGTGGGACCCCCATGGACGAGGTGGTGGGGAAGTCCACACACAAAAGCCAGGGGCACCCACGTGCCTGGTTCAAGGTCACCGAAGGCCGGGGATGTGGGCTGGCCTCGGGGGGACCAGGGCCCAGGCCAGCCCCAAGTCCAGGCTCTTCCTGATGGAAGGAGTAAGAGGCTCCCCCAGCAGGGGAGCCAGGCGGCCAGCAGGTCAGGAGGCCACACTTGGGGCGAACTCGCCCAAGACACGCCCTCCGCTCCCAAGGAGGTGACCCCATGTTTGCAGCAGTGGGCTCTGCCCGGCAGAAAGGCACCAGCTGCCCGCCGAGTGTGCTCACCTGTGTGAAGAGGCAGGTGTGCAGGTGCGCACACGCCACGGTCACCTGCACACGCGTGTGGGTGGGTGTGCAAATGCGGTGTGAGTCACATTTCCTCACCGGAGGGCACGTGTGCATCCGTGTGCTCACACGTGTGCTTGCGTGTGTGAGCCTGCGCGTACCTGCTTGTGTGGGTGCAGGGCCCTGTGGGGGAGAAGCAGCCCCCCTGAGGGAGGGGCAGAGGTCGGCTCCCTGGAGAACGTGCCCGAAGCGGAGGCACGGTCTCCCCGGCCCCCTGCCCGGAGGGGCATGCCTCCCCTCGATGGCCCGCACCACGCAGTGCGCCCCAGCCCCTCGGGCACAAGGGAAGGAAGCAACACTGACCAAAGGGCCGGCTCTGGGCCCCCTGAGCCTGAGCGGGTCTGCGGGGGCCTGGGCAGCGTCTGCCTCCAGCCAGGCCCCCCGGCAGCAGGCCGTGAGCAGAAGCCACTGGGGTTGAGAACTGTCGCCAGGGTGCGTTTGCCAGGCCTCTCCCCACGGGGCGTGCCCTGCCCGGGCCGGCGTGGGGCACAAGTCAGCAGCCGTGTGTGAGCTCCTGGCGGGCCAGGCAGGGGGGCGACGTGAGCAGAGGGGCGACGTGAGCAGAGGGGCTGGGGGAAGGGCCAGGGGCCGCCCGGTCTGCCGAGAGCTTCCCTGATCTCCCAGTCCCACCACCCCATCAGCTGCGACCCCACAGCTGCGACCTCGCCCCGCCACCAACCCTGGTGACCCTCACGTGACCCTCAGAGGTGAGCACCGCACTAACTCCCACCTTACAGGTCAGGAAACTGAGGCAGCACAGGGAGGGCCATGTGGCCAGGGAGGAGCGGGTCCACCACCCACTGCCAGGGGCCCCGGGGGGCAGTCAGCCCAGAGGGCAGCCCTTCGGACAGCTCCAGGCCCCCCGGGGTCAGGGACTCCGAGGCCTGCCCAGAAACCACAGCAGCCTGAGCAAGGCCTGCTCTCACCAGGCACCTACTGGGGTCCCTCAGGCCTCACCAGGCCCACCCACTGCCTTGGCACACTCCTGGGGGAGAGATGGCCCCAACTCCCTCAAGGCCATACCATCCCCTCCTCCCAGCCCAGCCCAACAGCTCCCAACCCACCATGTGGCACCCCAGCACCCCTCAGTTCTTGGCTCCCACATCTTGCGCAATTGGTCTCCCCAGGGTGAGGTGTCACTTAGGCGAGGCTGAGTCTCAGAGAGGTTGAGTGATCAGCCCAAGGCCACACAGCACTGAGGTCACGCAGCTGTGACACCAAGAAGTCCTGCACGGCCACCCACATGTTGGGAAAGAGCCAGACCCCAGAAGTGGCCGCCTGCACCCGCCCACATTGCCCCAAGAGCACGCATTCAGGTCTGGCCCCTCATGGCGCCCCAGTCCTGCCCGTATCTGAGAGCTGGTGGTGGCCCAGATGGGCACTGGTTTAGGTGAGGGACCCCCAGCCCCGGGCCTCATTTGAGCCTCAAACTCAGTCCCCTTCTCAACATAACCACCACCATCACTGCCCCTCCCCCCACAGGGACCACCAAGGAATCCCAAGAAGGATCCATGGCATGGCCTGGTGGCTTTGTGAGGATCCCCTGCCTGGGCCCAGCCTCTCTGTCCAGCCCTGACTGTGGAGCAACCAGATGGCCAAGAACACGGGTCTTCCCTGCCCTCCAGGCTTGGTGGCCCCCAGCAGGGTCCTGCCCCCCCCCCCACCACAAGCAGCCCTCAAAAAGAACCACCTCTCTCCACAGAGATGGAGAGATGGAGGGGGATGGAGAGACACCACAGAGCTACTGCGTGTATACCACCACCCCCTCTAAAACAGCATCTTTGTTCACGGAGGGCCAAGTTCCCCCAGGTGCCCAGCATGAGGGCTTAGGGGTAGGCATTGCTGTCCCGTTTTACAGATGAGAAGATAGGGTCAGAGAGACTCCAGCAGGTGGGAGCTGGGCTCTGAATGCTGGGCATTTGGCAGGAGGCCAGGGGACCCCAACTTCCCCCCTCCCCAACACCCACGTGGGGACCAGCATGGAGCCCTGCACCCCAGCCCGTTACCCACCGCCACCAGCCAGGGCTGTTCCTCCCAAAGGGGGACACAGCTCTGCCCTTCGCTGGACCCGAGGGGACCTCCCCTTGCCCTCCTGACAACTTCTTCCCTGTAAGTCATTAAACTGACACGTTATAATTACACTGATCGCAGCTGCAAGACACGCAAAGCTGTTGTTTCTCTAAAGTGGGGGAAGGGTCTGGTGCCCAGGACACACCCGAGTGTAGGGAGGGGGTGCTGAACCCCACGGAGGGCAAGCCTGGGCTCCACAGAGTGCAAGAGGCCGGGCGTGGGGGAGGGCCTCCATCCCAGGGTCAGTCCCTGCACGGCGCGTGCACCCACACACGCACGCACGCACACACATCCCAGCCCTGCCGATAGTTCCAAGGCGGCATCCCAAGGCTGGACCCCCACCCCCCAGCCGGCAGGCTGCCTGGAGCACTGGCCCAGAGCCGCCCAGATGCCTGGCCCCAAAGGTTGTCCGGGCCTGGGGCCGCTACCCTCCAGCCCCCGGGGCCAGCCGGGGCTGTGCCTGCCCAGACTCGGGGCCTCCGCTGGCGACAGCGTCTTCTCCAAGCCCTGGGAGCTGGTTGCCTGGGAAGTCTTTTCTGAGGGATTGACACCCACACCCTAAACCCAACAGACAGACCTCACGTCAGCTCCCTTCCCCCAGGAGCAAATGCCTGCACATGGGGCTGTGCCCAGGGGACCCTGCACATGGCTACACACACTGGGCCCTGCTCCAGGCAGGGAGACCCAGGAGAGCCCGTCACATGTGCGCCTGGCTTTGTTTTGGCTGGATTAGACTGCGCCAGGGCTCCAGGGACGTGTGGGTGGGACTCGGGCCCCCGGGCCCTGGCTCCAGGGCAGGGAGTTCTCCCCCACACTGGAGAAGGAGGGCTGGAGCCCGCCACGACCCCGGGAGGAAAGCCTGCCACCTCCTGGTAACAGACGCCGGCCTCCGGCCGCCCCCGGCCCTGTGCCCGCCGCAGCTGCCCACCACCGCCAGGAGGCCAGGCAGCCCCGGGTAAACACGCGGCTGGCACCACCAGTCTGGCACGGTAAGACGCCGGGCCCCAGGTCCCCCACAGCCAGCCAGACAGGGCCACCTGGGCCTCCCCCGCCGTCCAGGGGGCCTGGGCACCCACCGAGGCCCATCTCCTCCGAGCCTCTGCCCAGTGGGCGCTGTCCTGTGGGCGGCCGCTGCTCCCACCTCCCGTGCAAGCTGCTGGGTAGCCGGGCAGGGCTCCCTAAAACTGGCTCCCAGCAGGGAGAGGGGCTTCCCACACTCAGACCACGGACCGGCAAGGGGCCATGGTGGCCTGGGACCCAAAGGCAACACTCCCACCCCTCCCAGGGGGCCCTTGGTCCTGGCCACTTCCTCCCCTGGACACCTGGGGCCAATGTAGGCCCTCCTGCCCCAGTTACCTGAGCCGGAGGCATCCACAGAGACAGTGGCCTGCGCCTCCGCCGCCCACCCCCCTGCCAGAGGCTTCAGCCCTGCCCGGGCCAGCACCAAGGCCTGCCCACCTCCACCGAGTGGGGTCTCTGGAGGTCCCTCCCACCAGCAGTTCCTCCTGCGGGCTCTGCTCAGGGTGGGGAAAGGGTTAATTTCCATGCAAAAGAGGAAACCGCCGCTCAGGAAGCATCATGTCCGCAGTGGGGGGGCTGGGGGGGCGCACAGCCCCGGCAGGTTGGGGGCAGCCGCAGCGGGCGGAGGGCTGGCCCAGGGGCGCGGCCAGCGGACTCACCGGGGTCGAAGTGCGAGCTGAAGGCGAAGCTGGGGTTGAAGAAGGACGACGACATGGCCAGGGCCAGCAGCGCGGCGGGCATCCCCCGGGCTGACGCCGCGCTCAGGACGCCCGGGGCCCCGGCCCGCGCCGCGCCATCGCCCGAGCGGCCGCCGCAGGTGCGGAGCGCGCCCTGCCCGCCGGCCGCCGAGCGCCCACCGCCGCAGCCGCAGCCGCGGGCCGGGGGCGGGCGCAGGTGCCGGGCCGGGGCGGGCGCGGGGCGGGCGCGGGCGGCGGCGGCGGACGAGGAGCCTCCGCCCGGCCGGCCGCGGCGCCGCGGGGCTCAGGGGCTGGTGCAGTCCGAAAACACTGGCGGGAGCGCGCGCGCGGGGGGGCTCCCTCCCCGGCTGGGGGGGCACGGAGACGCGCGGAGGGGGACCAGGAGGCTGGGGGGCACAGAGACGGGCGTGGGGGGAAGGAGGCACGGAGGCACGGGCAGGGGGGCAGAGAGACGCAGGATGGGCGACCTGGAGACGCGGGGGAGGTGCGGAGGATGGGGGGCACGGAGGCAGGAGGGGGCCCCGGGACGCGGGGGTGGGCACCGTGGCACGCAGGAGGAATACGAAAGCGCGCGCAGGGGCGCCCGGAGGCGCGCGGGGGGCCTCGCGCACGGGGCTCGGGGCCTGGCACGCGGCCCGCACACGCAGGTTTCAGAGGCGGCTCGGTCCGGCCCCACGCCCTTGGGGCAGCGCCCGCCCGGGGGGGGGCGGGAGGGGGGTATTTGGGCCCTCGCCACCCCAGCCTGTGCCAAGCCGCGACGACCGGGAGAAGGTGGCGGCCGCCCCCGCCCGGGAGTGCACAGCTCCGGGCGTTTGGGGCGGGCGCGGCGGCGCGGCACCGAGGGACCGTCCGCCCCTCCCCGGGCCGCGCCATCTTGCACGGCTGCGGCGCCCGCAGCAGGGGGGCCCGTGGGGCGCGGGGGCGGGGGGGGGGGGGTGAGGCCAACGCCCGTCCACCCTGTGGGAGCCCGGGGAGTTACAGTGTAGCTGGGATCTGGCCTTTATGTAACTTGGGTCACGCTCGTTCATCCGTCCATTCATTCCCTGGCCCGATGAGCACAACCCCTTGGCAGGGCCCGGCGGGAGGGCAGGGGTGTTGTGGGAGCAGGAGGGGGGCACCTGCCCAAAGCAGGCCCGAAGGCTTTGGGGAGAGCAAGGCTCAGTGCTCCTGGCAGAGGAGTCGGCCCCTTAGGGAGAGGGTGTCAGAACGTGACCTTCTTCTTCTAAGGGGGCCCCCTGTGTAGAAAGTACCCAAAGGTCCCATCTTTCCCCTTCAGACCTTAAGGGTCCCCTGAAGGGGCAGTCTCACCCCACCACAGGCCTGTGGAGGAGAACAAGTTATCCAGAACCTTCTTACCGGCCCTGACTGCGTGGTAGCTGCTGTAAGCTGCCCCCAGGCCTCGGATGCACCAGCCACAGGTAAGGTGGCCAGTAGAGGGCCTGGTCTGTGGCAGGTGCTCAGATCCCAGGGGCTAGGAGGGTCGGAGGCCACCGAGGCTGAGGGTGGCTGAGGGCTGTGATCTAGGAGTGTACCCAGGGAAAGGGGGCTGGGTCCCCAGTCGGGGACCTCCCTTCCCCACCCAAGAAGGTGCCCCATATACCTGGACCCCAACCAGTCCGGGGAGCTCCTTGGGGACAGGCAGGGGAGATGTCCAGTGGCCCTAAGTAGCCTCTGTCCAGAGCCTCTGCACCACCGTGGCTGGCCTCAGTGACCAAGGTCAGAAGACGGTTCTCTGTGCCCTTTGCCTGTGAACACACGTGTGTGCACGCACACTCCCAACCCAGTTCGGGGGCCGCCTGGAGCAGAAGCCTCAGGTGGAGGGTGGGCCAGATCTCGGAGCTTTGGGGTTCCGGATTGTCCTCTGGGGTACAGGCAGGGCAGGAGAAGACCTGGGGGCTCCAGGTGCAACACTCCCAGCCTATTTGACCATAGTGACACCCCTTTTCCCCCGGGGAACCAGGGTCCTCTGAGGTTTTACTGGAACCAGGATTCCTGCTACTCCCCGAGCATGGTGACCATTGAACTAGAGATGTCTCAGGTCCCCCCGCCATTAGTCTATTCCTTGGGTCAGGGCTTCCCATGTGAGGCCAGCCAGCAAGCACGCACTGCCGTCCCGGTGTGGGGCAGGAAGGCTGGCCCTGCAATTCAGGGGACGTTCTGTGTGCATGCTTCCCGGAGGCAGAGACAGGAACTGCTGTCCTTCCGGGGGCTCTCGAGCCCAAGGCCTCCAGGTCAGCAAGAGCCTGCCCCTCGGCTGGCGTGATGAGGCCGACTGGGCAGGACGAGGTACTTCAGCCCTGTGGAGGGCAGAGCAGAGCTGTTCGGGGCCAGCCAGGCTGCCGGGGACTCTTCCCTTGGCTTCCGGGCTGGAGGTCCAGTCCCCCCACGACCTCTGAGAAAACACAGGTCCGGCAAAGGACTCGCATACCAGCAGGAAAACGCAACAATGTGGGCCCTGAGTTACAGGGCCTTGCTTGTCCAGTGGCCGTGGCAGGGACAGTGAGAGAGACCAGTCTCAGTGTATAGGGCAGGCAGGGGTGAGGGCGGGCAGGGGTGGACCTGCCAATCTGGGGGTGACCGGTGGCCAGCCCACCCCAGGGTTGCTGCAGGTGCGGCTTCTGCCAGTCCTGGGATGGCCAAAAGTTCCTGAAAACATGCCCCACTCCTTCCCCTGACCTCCACGGCCAGAACAGGGGCTGGGCCTAATAAGGGGGGCAGGGGTGCCACCTACCTGAGTGACCACTGCCCAAGGGGCTGGCCTGTCACAAGGTGCTTCCACCCATAACGGCCAGACTGGCTTACGCTAGGACAGGACACAGCTCTAGGCCCACGGAGACCGAGGTCATAGGCAAGATGCCTCGGGGCCTACGGTCACAGAGGCATCCAGGGCAGACCGTGTCCAGCGCAAGTCCTGCCTGGCCCATGCCTGGGGCGGTGGGGGGAGGGCGCCATTCCCTGGAAGGATCCAAGGGGGCGGGCCTGGCTGGGAAGGGTGTGTACAGAAGGGAGTTTGGGGCCAGAGGAGATGCAGGAAGGGCGAGGTCTCTCACATGCAGGAGCGGCGTGGGGCCGGGGGCGGGGGGTGACATGAGTGAGGCCCCGAGGGGGCCCCAGAAGCTCGGGAGTGTGTCCATAAGCCGGTGAGCGGGCACAGGAAATGCAGTGGAGTGTCACCAAAGCACTGACCTGGGGGCGTGCTCAGCGAGAGAAACCAGACCCGTGTGAGGGACCACACCGCCCCCAACCATAGGGACATGGTGGGGGGGATGGGCAGCGCCTGCCGAGGGGGCGCAGGGCCTCTTTCTGGGGTGCTGAAAGTGTTTTGCAATTAGAGGTGATGGTTGTACAACCCTGTGGCTGTCCTTACAAAACCCTGAATCGTGCGTTCTAAACAGTGACCTGTGAATTATATCTCGGTAAAGCTGTCCAACTTAGTAATCAGGTAACTAATACTTTAATGTGATGTGTTAAAGAGTCAGAATCGCTGAGGAGAGCCGTGATGAGCAACAGCGCCATCCTGATTCACGCGACAGCCGGAGCAGAGCCGCCCGGGGGCCTGAGGCGAGGGCAGGCCCGGGACTGTTTGCCTGTCGGCCTAGCGCCCCTTCAATCCACGCCCCCGACGCGCACCCTGGTCAGTGCATGCCAGGCACTGGGGAGCCCAGGAGCCTGGCCAGCCTGAGGGTGGCAGCCTCCTTCGTGCCCCCACCAGGGGCCTCCGGGCCCCTTGATTAGGCCCCTAATAAAGAGAGAGAGCTTGCTGTGCATTCGGCCTGGGTCCTCACCTGAGGCTTGGGGAGAGGGTCACATGAAGGGACAGGCCTGAGGTGGGAGAGGGGGCAGGAGGAAGCAGAGAGCACAAGGGGTTCTGGGCAGGGGCCTTGGTGAGTGTCCGGGAGCCACCCTGACAAATGACCACGACCCGGGGCCTTAAAACAGCAGAAATGGTCTCTCACAGCTCTGGAGTCTGGCCCTGAGCTGTTGGCAGGCCCGTTCGCTGGAAGGCTAGGGGAAGCGCCTCCTGCCTCTCCCAGCTCCTGGTGGCCCAGGTGGCCCAGGTAGCCTGCGGCCCGCGGCCATGTCACTCCATTCGCTGGGTCTCTCCTGTTCTCATAAGGACCCAGCCAGCGGACTGAGGGCCCAGCCCTATCTAGTATGGCCCCATCCCAACAGTACGGCCCCATCCTAACGTGCGCACATCGACAAAGACCCTATTTCCAAACAAGATCCCATCGATAGGTACCAGGACTAGGACACGGACATACCTCCTGGGGGGCACCATTCATCCCACTACAGAGGTGAAGGACACAGGGACAGGGCCAAGGGCACAGGGTCGGCGTCCATGGAGCGCCTCCTATAAGAAGACACACGAGCTCGCCTGGATTCAGCCCACAGGGACACTGTCATCCCAGCTGGCCTGCTCTCTGGCCTGCTCAGACTTCGGCAGAGCCCCAGGGACACTCTGCTTGCTGGGACTTCACCCCCGGAGGGTCAGCGCACCCACACCCCAGACCTGCTGCCTGGGGGTACGGGTGGGGGTCAGGTGCTCCTATTGTCCCCACCGGCCTGCCCCCACCTGTGGGGGGTGGGTGCCGCTGAGAAGGGGATGGGCCTGTCTCCCGCCCCCAGAACTCTCCTCCACAGGCCTGCCCGCCACAGCCATGCTTGGCAGGGTGACGAGGAGAGGGGTCCTGGCATTTGCCAAAGGGCCCTCAGAGGGCAGAGGGCAGCCACCAAGGGTGCCAGGGCTCAGAACCAGCCAGGCACCCCCGGCAGCCCCAGGGGGTCACGCTGGGGCCTGGGAGGCGGCGGAGGTTCGAAGGAGCCTTGTCCTTCCGTCAACATGGCTCACTGAAGAGGAAGGGCTAATTGGGCTCACACTCCTTGGGCTCAAGGCAGGGCTGGAGGGCAGAGGGATGGGCAGAGAGCAGGCCAGCTGGGATGACGGTGTCCCCAGAGCTGCGAGGTGGTTCCCGTTACCCTCCAGGCCAGCTCAGCCCAGAGCAGGGGCCGGGGCCGCAGGCACAGAGGTGTGGCCCAACTCCGAACAGCAACGAAACCAGAGGAGCTGCCCGGAGCCGGCCATCTGTCAGTTCAGGGCAGGTGCTGGTTCCAGGGGCCTGGAAACTCACACCAGGCTCCCCACCCCTCATGTGCTCCCCAGGCAGAGGTGGACTCAGACCAGGCCTTCCAGAAGATGCCTCCCCCAGAGGGCCAGGCAGAGCGGGGCTCAACGCTGGGCCAGTCCCACTGGGAGACCCTCCAGTGCTGCTTATTTATGTTTTCTGTTTGATTTGTGCTTTATTCGAAGCAACGTTTCCCATTCCACATTTTTTTAATTGAGGTGAAATTCATATAACATAAAACAAACGATTTTAACGTGAACAGTTCAGTGGCATTTAGCACACTCAGTATGTGCAACCATCACCTCTATTCAGTTCTAGAACATTCTCCCCACTCCCAAACCCCAAAGCTGTTAAACATGAATTCCTCACTCCCTTCCCCTCCAGCCCTCGGCAACCACCGACCCGCTTTCTGTCTGTATGGATTTGCAAATTCTGGAGATTTTATACAAATGGAACCAGGCGCTATGTGGCCCTCTGTGACTGGCTTCTTTCCCTGGATGTAAGGTGTCGAGATTCATCCGCATCATGGCGTGCGGTTCATTCCTTTTGTGCAGAGTGGCCTTCCGCTGTAGGGACACGTATGTCGGGTGGCAGTCAGTGTGCCTGCTGGGGACCTCGGTGTACGTACGGACGCGCAGGCGTGCGTCCCACACTGGAGCACCGAGCGCACGGGTGTGTTGGAAAGCGTCGGGGGAAGAATGTGGAACCCTCCACCGTTGGTCCCAATCATCCCACTCTTGTGAACACGGCCAAGGAGCAGGAGACACTCCCCTGGACAGAGATGCACATTGAAATAGCATCTCTATGAGCAAAATGCTGGAATCTGTTTGGGGTCCAGCAGCAGGTGGCCATTGGAAGTTTCTGGAAGGTCCTCAGCTCGCCGGCCTCATATGAAGCTGTGACACAAGGTAGCGCACAAAATGTTATATGAATTTCCCGGTGATGCGTGAGCGACTCTCACACCAAGAAGGCAGATCTCAGCGCCGTGTCCACGCTGTGCAGAATGACCAGGGAAACCCGCACAGAGAAAGTGGTGGGCAGGGCTGGGAAGAGGCTGCACCCCAGGGTCCGCCCTGGTATTGGGGCATGGCACCTTTTGTGAAAACCAGTGGACGTGAGGGGTCTCCAGGCAGGCCAGAGCTGGGAGGGGCTCTCCGGGTACATCGGTCTCTGGTGTCCCCGTTCTCAACCTGGCGACTGTCCTTCGAGAGGCCTCCTCAGCCAGAGAGGCCAGCCCTGCCTGGGGTCACACAGCCCTGCTCCCCGAGACTGCAGGAGGCAGCATGGCCTGACAGACCGGCCTCCTCCCCTCACCTTTATGGCCAGCCCTGACCCCCTACAGCGACCCGGGGACAAAGGACAGCTGCCCGACCCGGCCGCTCACTGGATGCGGTCCCTGTCCAGGGGCTTCTGGTGGCTTCTCAGACATGCTGGCCAGCCCGCACACCCTGGGTGACCCTGGCTGGCCCAGCCAGCCCTCTCCTGGCCCACCACCTCACCCTGTAAGGCCAGTGGGCAGGGTGGGCCCTAATGCAACAGACAGAAACTCCTCTTGCTCCCCGGTGCTAGCCACTCTCCCCACCCCCACCCTGGGCTTGGGGAGGCCGGGCGCTGCTGACGGTCAGTCTGCCCGGCCCGGCGTGGATGTGCCAAGTGCCAGTGAGCCCCTGGGGGAGGCAGGCCAGTGCCAGGCTGGAGTGCCCGGGAGGGGCAGGGGGTGGGAGGACAGGTGCAGCCCAAGCTGTAAATAGGCCCAGTGGCTGCAGGTATAAAAGCTGGAGCCCCCACAGACTATCAGCACCCCCAGCCTGACCTGCCTCCCCACAGCTCTCGAGCGAAACCAGGCAGAGGTGAGCCTTGCCCAGGGAGGGGTGGTATGGACTCTGGGCCCAGCCAGAGCTGCCCACACTGTGTGGCCAAAGCTTGTGGTCTCATTCTCATCCACAGGACAAGCGGAGGCCTAAGGGGCTGAGGAGACCCCAGGGAGGTCCAGGGGAGGCAGGAAAAGGAGGCAGAAGGGGAAGGGCAGCCCCAAGGGAGCCCCAGTCTTAGAGGCAGCCGCGTGCTCCTGGGTCTGCAGGGGTGGGCACGTGAGCATGCATGTGCCTATGTGGGCCTCTGAGAGAGTGCTAGGATTTGGGGAGCAGGGTGGGGAGGCTGAGACCTGCTCACTGACCTCAGGGCCCCAGGTGCTGACTGGGGGGCCAGGGAGCCTGCTCGGGCAGGGGGTCCAAGGCCAACAGACCCACTGACTCCGGCGGGCACACGAAGTCAGCTCTGGACCCCCTCGGACCCAGTCCCCATCTGCTGGGGCCCCTGCCTCTGTCACCTCCCCCCCCCCAGCCCCCCAGCCCGTGCAGCATTTTTTCTCATATCAGCATCTGAACTTGGGGACTCACCGGCAGATGCTAGAAGCAGAACACAGCCCCCAGGAGGGCTATGCAGGCGGTCCACAGTGGTCTGGGGTGGGGCGACGTCCCTGCCAGCCTTGGGAGGGCATTCAGGGCACAGCAATGCCCGGGACAGGTGGGGTTCTGGGGGGTCTTAGCCAGGTTTTAGAGCTCAGTCCTGCTTTGGCTGTGGAAGGCAGTGAGGCGGGAGGGAGGGAGGGATCCTGTCTGAGGAGAAGGACGAAGTGGGAGCAGCCCAGGAGGCTGGGCAGGGGCGCGCAGGGCACCAGAGTGCTGGCATCGTGTGGTGCCCACAGTCCCCACCCCCAGCTCTGGTGAGACATGTCGGCTTCCCTCTGGGGGTGAGCGAGACGCCATCCCAGGCCCTGGGTCAGGGCTATAAATAAACCACCAGCAGCCCGAGGCCCCAGGCCCTGCCCCCGCACCAGCTCTGATCTCAGGCTCCCCTGCCTTCCTGTGGGGGGTACCCCCCCTAGAGCAGTGGGATAGGACTGGGTGGGGAACAGACACAGCCCAGGGCGCCCAGTGCGCTCTGCAGACAGGATGTCGACCCCAGGCTCTGCCAGACCTGGCCTGGAATTTGGCCCAGCCCCTCCTTCATAAAGCGTGGGACACGGGCTCTGGCAGGGCCCCAAGGGGCAGGCGGGACAACCCCTCTTTCCAGAATGGAGTTCTGAGATTCTGGCATGGGAGAGGGGAACAGGGGCTCAGCTCAGGATGTGGGCTGGTGGGGCCCGTCCTGTGGGCCTCTGTGGCCCAGGTCTGCCCTGGCTCGCCACTCACCACCCCCACCCTGCCTCCCAGGCCAGCCCCCCAGGAGCCGGCTTTCAGGCATGATGCACAGGGGACCCAGCTCCAGGCCCACCTCAGGCCCCAAAGCCCTTTCCGCAGTATCTCCCTTCCCTCCTGACTCCTCACAAGACCCTGAGAAGGGTCAGGATGGGCAAGGGTCTCCCCATTTCACAGAATAGCTGTGGGGCACGGCCAGGGTCAGGAAGGAGGTCACGGTCCTGGGGCTCTATCCAGCACTCCCTGCACCCCCAGGCTGCCAGGCTTGAGCTGCAAACTTTGACTCGTGGCTTCTCTTTTGGGAGGAAAGGATACTCCCCCAGCCACTGCCCAGCTCCACTCAGGATGCACGGGCCACAGGGCTGCCCTTCCTGGACATGGGAGTATGTTCCAGAACGTTCTGCCACCCCATGAACTTTTGAGAGGGCCAAGGAGCCTCTGAAATAGCTGTTTTGCCACAAGCCCCAGAACCCAACTCCCCCTGGGGACGGCAACCCGAGAGCCCAGCAGGTCACAAGGCACTGCCTCGAGGGCCACAGGACAGCCTGGTCCCCACCTGCTGACCCCTCAGCGTGTGACCAGACCCCCACCCTCCTGGCTGGACTCCCGGCCTGCCTCGGACTCTCCGTGAACTGAGGACAGTGACACACACACGTCCATGGGGCCTGTGGGCAGATGCCTGGAAAGGCGGCAGTGGTCCTCCCTGCTCAGAGCATCTGGGCATTGCTCAGTGCAGAGCCAACTCGCTGCAGGTGGTGAACGGCCAGCCGGGAGGCCCAAGGCCTGCTGGTCTGGGGTCTGGGAGAGCAAGGCCCAGGCTGTGGGCCCGGAGTCAGGGTGGAAGGAGGTGGGGCTTCAGGTAACCAAGAAGGCTTCCCAGAGGAGGTGGCTATGAGATGGGCCTGGAAGGACAGAGGAAAGTTCCCTGGCGGCGTTGAAGGGTTAGAGGGCGGCCACCACCTCTTCTGAGCAGAGTGAAGGACCTCAAGCTCATCACTTGCTGTCTGGGGGCTCAGCCTCTTCTGTGAGATGGAAGTGGTACCCAAGGTGGCCAGCCGGCAAGAGGTGGGGTCTCGGGCGCATCTTCCCACAGGGCCCTGGACACAGGAGTCTCTGCAAGGCCAGGCACCCCAAGGGCCTCTGCACCCTGGGGACCCTGCTCGGGAGGCAGGAGTTGGTGCCTTGCGGGGACTGTGTCTGTTAGAGTTAGGGGTAGAGGTAGGATTAGGGGTAGGCAGAGTGCCCCCACCCTGCCTGTGTGCACCCACCGAGCTGGCTCCTGTCCACCGCAGTGCCAGGATGGACGAGGACTTCTCCTCTCAGATGAAGAAGATGGCCTTGGCTATGGGCACATCCCTGTCGGACAAGGACATAGAGATGCTGCCCACAGACATGAGGCATCACGGTATACAGCACACCCCTCATCCCCAGCATGGCCTCCCTGCCCCGGGCCCGGCCCAGCCATGGCCAAGGAAGCAGTGGACACCGGAGCCCATCTGCAGGCTCCCCCTTCCCTGGGCTGAGCAGCGTGGGACACATGGGGTGGGGGAGGGGAAGAGCAGGCCACGGCAGTCCCCACCCCAGGGCAGAAGCCTCCCTCGGGCCCCCGTGACCTGCGCCTGGCTGTCCCAGGCTCCTTCAACTACCTCAAGTTCCTGGAGTACATGCAGAAGTTCCAGGCCTCAGGGCAGCTGGACAGCGCCATCCGCCAGGCCTTCCAGACCCTGGACAAGGACAAGAGTGGTTTCATCGAGTGGAATGAGATCAAGTAATGGCCAGTGGCTGGGGATCGGGGTCCTGAGCCCGGGGCCTAGGGCCCAGTCCACAACAACCACGCCCACCCCAGTAGAAGACCTGGTGCCCCTCCCCCCGCCCAGTGGGCCCCAGCTGGCCTCTCGGGAGGTGGGGCCGGCCAGAAACAGCCCAGGTCCACAGCACTGGGGCCAGGCCCAGAGACCCCTCTCCAGCAGGGCCTCAGTTTCCCTACCTGTAAAATGGGGAGTGAGCACCTTGCAAACCACTGGGCACCAGCCAGACACCCCTCGGCTCTGACCAGAGCCCACCCCTGGCCCCAGGTACATCCTATCCACCATTCCCAGCAGCGGGCCCACCGCCCCGCTGACAGACGAGGAGGCAGAGGCCATGATCCAGGCGGCCGACACGGATGGGGACGGGAGGATTGACTTCGAAGGTGGGTCAGCACAGACAGCGGGGCCAGAGGTCCCTCTCGGGTCTTCCCGGCCCCCCCCTCCGGGACCCCACAGCACCGTTAAGTGCCCATGTGGGCACAGCACTGAGTAGGCTCCCTGACCCCAGGCATGCAGTTCATAGCCGTCTTTGCTGGGTAACCGTCCCCCTCCCCCAGAGATGGGAAAGCAAGTGTTGGGGATGCTGAGCGGGCAGCTGGCAGGGAGCCGCTGCGGGTTTCTGAGTGGGGGAGAGGTGGGTGGAGATGGCCGTGGGGAGGCTCGGCTGGATGGGAGCAGAGGTCCGAGGCTCCCTGGACAGAGAGAGTGGTCTGAGGTGGGGAGGGAGGTTTGAAGAAAGGAACCAGGCCTGAGGCCCTCCATGGCTACCCTGGGGTCTAGAAATCTGTCTCCTATTCTAGAATTTTCTGAAATGATCAAAAAGGAGAAAGTGCCAAAGAAGAAGTAGTGTACACCCAGCCCCGGGCCGGGGGAGAGTACCCCACGTGGCATCGTGGACATCTGCGTGGCCGACCAAGGAGGCCATGGGGGTGGACACAGCACATGCCAGGAAAATGGAAGAACGGCATCATTAAATGAACAATGTAGCCCGAGTGTTTCTTGGGGGCAGTGTGTGAGTGGGGGTGGGGGTGGGGCCGGTGTGTGGGGGTGCACAGGGGGAAATGGGAGGCTAGGCAGGTGGATGCATCCAGCCCCTGCCCCTTCTGCCTCCCCCTTGTCCCCATGTCATGGGGGGCACCTGTAGAGGGGGTCCCCCTCGCCGGCTCTCGCCCCTCCCAGCACAGTGCTCTCTGTGCCTAGACCCCCGCAGGACCCCCTTCCCCAGCCGGGCTCTGCTAGGCTGCCCTGGGCTCACACAGCAGCCACGTGAACACAGAGCGGGGATACCTGCGACCCTGGGGTACAGCCAAGGGGGCCCTGGCATGTGCCCTGGGCCGTGCCCTCTGGGTCCGTCCTCTGCCTGCCTGCTTGCCTTCTTCCTCCTCTTGATGCCCCACTTCTCCCTCCCTGAGCTGGTGCCTCTGCTCCCCCCCGCGCTTGCCCTCCTGGTGGGCTCCCGTCCCGTGGTTTAAGTACCATGTGTGGGCCAGGGCCCCCATCCCACCTCTCTCCTGTGCTCCCGACTCCTGTGCCTGTCTGGGCTTCCTGACACCCCGTTTCATGTGAAAAAGCATCTCAAACTTAGAGCGCGAGGCTGAGCTCCGATTCTCCCTCCGTGAAGTCCGGCCACCCGCCCCTTCCTATCTGTTAGTGCCGCGTCACTCCTGGGGCTGATCTGGCTGGGAGCCTTGCGGACACATGCACTCTTGGCCGCACTCCCCCTCCATCCTGGGGACTGGTCCCGGGCAGAGCCCTGGGCTCCCTTCAGAGCCCCCCATGTCCACAAGTGGGGGGCGAGTGTCACTCGTGGTGGGAGTGGGTTTCCTCTTCCAGCTGCTCCGGGGGACTCTATAGCCTCTAGGAAAGAGGGGCCAAGGGGGCTGGACCACACAGAAGTGAAGGCGCTGCCCCTCACGAGCACCCTCGCGGGGCCATGGCAGGAGTGAGGCCCATCTCACATATCACCCTCCCCTCCTCTCCTCGCCCGCCTTTGTGGGAATCTCAGTGGCCCTGCCCTCAGAAATCACCCAGGGCCCCCCTCCCTGCCACCATCCTGGCCACCACCCCCTCTTGCCTGGGTGACCACCATAGCTCCTGGATTGGCCTCCCGGCCTCTACCCTCTGACAGTTGGTTCTCAACACAGCAGTGGAGAGGTCCTTTAAAAATAGAAGTCAGGGGCGCCTGGGTGGCTCAGTCGTTAAGCGTCTGCCTTCGGCTCAGGTCATGATCCCAGAGTCCCGGGATCGAGTCCCACATCGGGCTCCCTGCTCCACGGGAAGCCTGCTTCTCTCTCTCCCACTCCCCCTGCTTGTGTTCCTGCTCTCGCTATCTCTCTCTCTGTCAAATAAATAAAAAAAAAATTAAAAAAAAATACTCTATGATCTGGCTTTAAAAAAAAAAAAAATAGAAGTCAGATCTGGGCGCCCCGATGGCTCAGTCAGTGGAGCATGTGACTCTAGATCTCGAGGTTGTGAGTTCGAGCCCCATGGTGGGCATAGAGCTTACTAAAAAAAAAAAAAAAAAAAAAAAGTCCAATCCGTCACTCCACTCAGAACCCTCTAGAGGCTCCCCTGTCAAGCCAAGTCCTTGGAGCACCCACATGTCTTGTTCCCCACCAGGCCCCGACTTCAGCCACATTGCTCCCTCTCTGCTCCTTTTGCACGGCCGTTCCTGCCTGGCATGCTCTTCCTTAGATTTATATCTGCGTGACTAACTCCCTTGTCTCCCTCAAATTTCCTCAAATGCCACATCCCAAAGAAATCAATCCTAACCCACCGTATTGCATATCACACTTGCCCTGGCCACGCATTTTGCATCTCCTTGCCCTGGTATCTTTCCTCATGGTACTCACCGTCCCCTAATATACTATAATATTCATTTATTTATAATGTTTATTATGAGCTAAAAGAGCGTCAAGGACATGGGGTCTGAGATCCCAGGGAAGAAAGGCTTTGAGAGATGAGCCTGAGGTTGTCACAGGTTTCCCATCAGGTGTTGGTAACTGTGGCCAAGAGGCTGAGAGCTGAGGAGGGCACCCAGCGGCCTCCTGGGTGTTTGGCATCTGCCAGGGAGGAGGAGGAGGGGCTTGGCTTGGGGCTCTAAGGGGTTAGAAGTGAGGAGTGAGGACAGGAGAACCAAGCCAGTCCTCACAGAGACTGGAGTCTGGCCTCAGCTAGCCCAATTCCTCCCCTCACTGCCCCTCAGAGCAGAAGAAATCCCTCTGGACCAGGGGCCAAATATAGCTCAGTGCAGGCCAGATTCGGCCATGCCCATTTATTTGCGTTTTATCTGTGGCTGTTTTCAAGTTATGCTTAACTGGAATGCCACGGAAAGCCTGAAAGTAAAAATAATTGCAGAGATATACCACACAAACACTATGGTGAGAAAGCTGGTACAGCTACTACTATCCGATGAAAGAGACCATAAGGCAAGAGGTCCTGCTAGACAAAGAAGGCCATTTCATAAAGACGAAGGGTCAGTTCACTAGGAAAACACACAGTTCCAAATATGTACGCACCCACTAACATAGCCTCAGAATTCGTAAAGCAAAAATGAGCCAACTAGAATGAGAAAGAGACGATGCACAATCGCAGTGGCAGATTTTAGCATTCTTCTTGGGAACCGACAGAGCAAGGAGGAAAAAAATCAGTAAGGATACAGGAGACTAGAAACACAATGAATTAACTCAACTCAAATGATAAAGATCAACTCTGCTTCCAACAACTGCATTCTCTTTAAGTCAACAGATAGAGAGTTTACCAAAATTGACCACATTCTGGCCATAAAGCAAATCTCAATCGAATCAGAGGGTTGAAATAACGTAGAACATATTTTCTGACCATAGGTAAACCAAGCTAGAAACCATAAACCAAAAAGATAAGAAAAGCAAGGCATGCGAAACCACCCACAGTTCACAGAAACCACCATGGAAATTAGAAAATATTTTGAAGGGCGCCTGGGTGGCTCAGACAGTTAAGCGTCTGCCTTCGGCTCAGGTCATGACCCCAGGGTCCTGGGATCGAGTCCCGCATCGGGCTCCCTGCTCCTTGGGAGCCTGCTTCTCCCTCTGCTTCTCTCTCTCTCTCTGTCTCTCATGAATAAATAAATAAAAAGAAAGAAAATATTTTGAATAACGAAACTACAATATACCAAGGCCTCACATTGCTTGGAGGAAAATTCAGTGTTTGCTGCATGGACTTGGAAGGGCAAGGCCGACCATCAATGGTCTAAGAACACTTCCTGAGAAGTCAGAGAAAGAAAAGAAAACACACTTTAGAGGAGAGGGAGGGAAGTAGAGGAATTCTGAAAGGTCAAGGCCAGTGCTCCCTGGCCTGCCCCCTGCTGGAGCACACACCCCACAGGGCAGGCTGTAGGTCTGTTTGGCCAGGGAGGATCTGCTCAGCACAGATCCAACAGGAATTTCAAGGATTTGTTTGGGCTTATCTCCCAAAAGGGTGGTGGGTCAGAAGCAGGTTGTTAGAGGCCAAGAGTGCCGTGGGCCTTGGGGAGGGGGTCCAGGTGGGGTGGTCCCAGAGCTCCCCCCGCAGATGCCCCTATAACCCACAGCCATCCAGGGAAGGGACCGTGCCAGAAACTAAGGGTGTCCCCCCATCCTGTCCACAGGGGGCTTTGGGGTGCTCCTGCTGGGTGGTGGCCAGTCCTGCCTGGGCTGGGAAGTCAGGCCCGCCTCTGGTGGGAGCATCACCTCTGCCCATCTCCACAGGTTTCCTGGCTTCCCTGCCTGCCCCGCTCTCTGGACACCACCCTGTCTTCCCATCTGCTGAATACCTTACTTGCAAAAATACATAGTTTAGTAATTTACAGCCGCTTCCCCCTGGCAACTCCTAATAACAGCTTTAGACAAAATACCTTTTCTGGTGGGCGGAGGGAGGTCAGAGCCTCGACAGAAAGACCCGTCTACTCCTGTGGTCCCGGCCACGCCCCTGGGAGCCCGGCTGAGGGCTGTGAGCCACCAGCTCCTGCCGGCTGTAGCTGCGGCCCAGGGAGGGGTCTGAGCTGGTGCCCACCGCCCCTGAAGGAGCGCCCCCCACCGGGGGCCAGCCACTCGCCCTTCTCTGGACTCGACAAGAAAGCATCCAAAGGCCAGCCTGGATCTTCGAATAGCTGGCAGAGAGGGTGAGCTGCAGGACAGCAGTGGCTCAGGGGAGAAAGCGGGCCCAGGACCTCTGGGGAGACCAGGGCCGCCCCTCCTCACCTCAAGCCCCAGAACTGGGCACCCCAGGCACACACCGCTGGACGGCCACTGGACGGCCGTGAGACCTTCTCCCCACCTGGTCATGTCACAGGACGAGACAGCCCCGTGAGGAGGGGACACGGATGGGGCTCGTGCATGCTGCCCGGGGGCCAGACTGGGGCCCATGCACCCGGGGATGGGTCAGGCCAGAGGGACCCGGTGTGTCTCCCTGCCACGGCCAGCTCGGGCACCAAAGAGGGAAAAGACGCTCTCGTGCAGGTAAGGAAAACGAAGCTGGACACACCCCAGGGCAGAGGACGGCAGTGACAGGGGAAGGCGGGCCCCACAGGTGAGCGCCCGGCAAGCTGCCTCAGCCCTCTGGGGCCGTGGGGCACGGCCTCCCCCCAGGGAGACGCAGGGAGATGCCCTGCGCGGGCTGGAGGGCCTTCCTAACCAGCTCGGGCTCCCCCAGCAGCCACAACAGAGGGAAGGGAAATGCGTCCCCGAGAAGGAGCCCCGGCAGCCCTCCCCTCGCACTCCCCCTCCTGACTCTCGGGTGGGCCTCCCCCCTCCTCATGGGCAGGGCCTGTCCAGTGCCCACTCCTTGGGGGCTCCTGCCTGTCGCACGTCCGGGGGGGGCGGGTCCTCAAGTGGGGGAAGGGCTACGTTGTCCCTGGCCATTGTGGGGGCCAGGGCAGCTGGAGAGCACAGGGGAAGAGCCCCTAAGCTCCTTCTGGGGGTGCGGCCAGCCAGGCAGGGAGCATTCTCTCTGCTGGGGACTGGGACCAACCCAGGGCCCACAGCAGGCAGGGGGCACAGGGGGTCAGGATGAGAGCAGAGCTGGGCTGGGGACACCCCGCCCCCGGCCTCCAGCCCCCACCACCCTGGCCCCTGGCCCCTGGCCCAGGAGAAAGAGACAAGGCAGTGGCACACAAAGTACTAAAAACACCTCTTTACTGTTCAAATGCGGCCATGGCGCTCTAGCGTCAGGATGACCGAGCCCAGGGCACAGGGCCGGAAGGGGGCGGTGGGGCCGGGGCCAGGCTGGGTCCCCCTCGCACCAGGGACCCCGGCCTGGCTGTTGTGGGCCCGTCTGGGCGGTGGGCGGTCACTTGGCGCTCGGGCGCGGCCACCCGCACTGCTCCAGCAGCCCTTCCAGGTGCTCGGCCCGCTTCACCGCGGCCTGCAACGTGCGGTCCACCTGCAGTCAGGCCCGGTCGTTATCCCCCGCCCGCCCTCGGGCAGACCCGGCCTTGGGGGCCCACCTCATGCTGTTTCCGGAGGCTGCGCACGGCCTCCTCCTTCTTCGCCAGGGCCAACTTCACCCTGCGGGGGAGTGCGTGGTGGGCCGCGGGGCAACGCCCTAGCCAGACCCCGCGGCCGGCATGCGGCTGAGTGCAGCGGGGGGGCCGGGCCTCCATCCTGGAAGAGCCGGTGGGGCAGCTATGCTGTCCACCCCATCCCAGCGCTGCTGACCGTGGGCACTGGGTCGTCCGGGGGGGCTGGTGACGAGCTGGGACCCCCACGGCCGGCCCCGGGGCCACCGCCCACAGAACCAGCCTCGGTGAGTCAGAGCCCAGAGTGGGGATCCCGACACACGCTGGGAAGGCTCCCTGCTGAGATGAGGAAGCATCGCCCCCAACGTCCACCTCTCCGAAGGACTAAGGGATCCCGCGGGGCTGGGGGAGCTGCCCACCGCTGAGCCCCCGGGGCTCCGGCTCCTCCAGCACGAGGGCTGCTTCACCCAGGCCAGGGAGACGGGCCCTGGCGCTCCTGGTGCTCAGCCAGCCGGGCCCCGTCCACACGGAGCCCACCGCGGCGGCTGACGGCCCAGCTCTGCGTCAGCTGCGAGGAGACACAGCCCTGCAGCGCCCTTCCCTTTCTCAGAGCCGGCGTCCTGCCGTTGGAGCTGTGGGGTCCCACCCCCTCCCCCCATGCTCCCCGAGGACCCCAAGTCCGGCCCCCAGCCCACCTCCCGTGCACCTCCTGCAGCTCGGCCTGCTTCTCCCGCGTGAGCTGCTCCAGCTCCAGCCGCTGGCGGGCCCGCAGCTCGGCCAGCTCGGCCCTGAGCTGCCGGGTCTCCTCCTCGGAGGCTGCCAGCCGGTCTGCAAACTCCCGGCGGAGCACCTCCGCCAGGCTGCCCCTCTCGCTGACCAGCTGCTCGTTCACCTGGGCCGGCACGGGGTGGGAGTGAGCGGGCGGCCGGGGCGCGCTGGGGCCGCCGCCCGCCCCTTCCCACCCTGCTCACCGCCGTCAAGTGGGCCAGCTCCTTTTCCTTCTGCCGCACCAGGCCCTGCAGACGCTCGCTCTCCCCCTCCGCCTCCCCAAGGCGCCCCTTCAGTTCGGTGCACCGCTCCTGCAGCTTCCGCTCAGACTGCTCCAGCTCCGAGAGCTCCGTGTCGTACTTGTCCCGGATGCGCTGGATGCTGGCGGACAGGGGCAGGGTCAGGGCGCTCCGGGGACTCGGGGCCGTGCCGGGCACCGGTGGGAGAAGACCTCACCGGCTCTCCGCGGCCCTCTCGCTCTCCTCCCTGGCGCGCGTCATGTCGGCCTCCAGCCGGTGGATAACCAGCTCGATCTCCTTATCCCGGTCTCTCCGGATCTCCTCCCTCAGCTCCCGTTCCCGGTTCAGTAGCCATGCTTCCTGGGGGTGCACGGGGCTCGGTGGGGCTGGTGCAGGGTCGGCCGCGGGACACCCGGCTGGCGGGACCTGGCCCTGTCCTGCCCCATCAGCCCTTTGGTCAGACCCAGGGTGGGACGCAGCGCGAGCACCAGCAGCGCTGCCCGGGGCTGCTGTCCTGGGTCTGAGGGCAGAGCTGGACACCTCCAAGCCTGCGGACGGGGGGTGAGGGCCCAGATGGGGCAGGCTCTCGGAAGGCAATTTGGAAACTCCCATCAGGCTTCACACCACACTCTTGGAACCAGCTGCCCTGCATCTGCAAACATATCCCACAAACACAGTGACCCCCGTGCACGGTGACGGGGCAGACGGGGAGGCCGCTCGACCACTGCTGAGGCTCTGCCACCAGGCCAAGCGGCATGGCCTCGTGCGGCCTGTGCGCCTGTCCACCACGGCCTCGTTCCAGGAGTGCCTGGCAGTGCAGGCTGGTGCTTCCTGCGGAAGGCACCGGAAGATGAGGAGCGCAGCCACCTGGGCGAAGGGAGGGTGAGGAATGCCGCCTTCGCCATCAGAGGGATCCGCCCCGGCCCCCCGGTCTCTCCTGGAGCCCCCCTCTGAGAAGGGCTGAAGTAGCCCACTTGCAGAGCGTGCACACGAGAGCACGACAACCAGTCCCTGAGCAGCCAGAACTGTGTCCACGGGGAGGCCACGAGGGGAACCCACACGTGGCTGTTCTGACGCCGGGGGTGCCGGGCAGGAGACTGCTTCCCGCTCCCCACCTCCTTCTTGGTGCAGCTGGCCTCCCACATCTGTCGTTCGGCCTCCAGCTGGTCCTTCAGGGTCTTCATCTCCATCTGGGGGGCGGGCGGGAGGCACCGTGAGAGCAGGCCCTGAGCCCCCGGGGCGCGCGCCAGGCCGAGCTGGCTGGGGAGCCCGTCGCATGAGCCCAGGCTGGGCCCAGCGCCCCTCGCGGCCGCCAACCCGGCACCCCCAGAGCGGGCGCTCCCTGCAGACCTGGTGCCGGCACTCCTGCTCCTCTCTCCCCTTCTCGAACTCGGCCCTGAGAGCCCGGCCCTCGGCCGCGCGGCTCTCCTCCAGCTGCTGCCGCAGTTCCTCCAGCTCCGCCCGCTGCCTGTGGGCCGGCGAGAGCTCAGCATGCGGGGGGCGGCGCGGGGCGCGGGGGGCGCGGGCGGGACACCCTCCCGGGGGCACCTGGCCGCCTGCTGGCCCAGCCGCTCCTTCTCCTCAGCCACCTCGCCGTAGAGCCGCCGCCGCTGCTGCTGAAGGGCCCGCTGCTCCTGCTCCACGTGCTGCTCAAAGCTGTGGGACCGGAGGCTGGGAGGCTCGGCGCGGGGCTGGGGGCTCCCGCCACGGCCACCCGCCTGTGCCCGCACCGCCTGCACCGCCCGGTGCCACCTGCGGCCCTCACGGGGCTCGTCCTGCCCCCTGGGTCTCCTGCCCTGGCACCAGCCTCCGACTGCCATCCGCCCCCCCACCGCCCTCCCGTGGGGTCCGGCGCATCCCAGCTCTGCTCGGGCCTCAGCCCCCTCCTGTCCCTGGGCAACGCCCGCCCGGGCGGGGACACGCACCGCTGCTGGGCACGCTCCCGCTCCTGCTGGCCCAGCGCCTCCTTCTCCCGCTGCAGGTGCTCCCGAAGCTCCTCCACCTGGCGCCCGAATCGCTGGGCCGCCCGTGAGTCCGCCTGCAGCAGCTCTGCCTCATGCAAGCTCTTGAGCTTCTTCACCTCCTGCTTGTGCTTGGCGATCAGCTTCTGGATCTCAGGCTCCAGGCCTGGAGGGAGGGCACCGCACCGCAGGGGCCTGCCCCTCAGTTCCTGGGCGGCCGGGGACCCCTGACCTCTGCCCGCTATGCTGACCCCTGCCCCAGTGCTACAGGGGACTCCCCGTTCTCCCCCACTGTGACACCAGGGCTGCAGCCCAGCCAGGGGATCCCCCACCCCGGCCACCCCAGAGGCTCCAGCCCAAAGCACAGCTGAGCCCCCGGGCTCACCGTCCCTCCGCCCCACGGGGCTCCCCCAGGTGCAGGACCCCCTGGAGGAGGGATCACTGGGGAAGAGGGTGTCCGGGGGCAGGAGGGCTGGGCGCAGGCTGGGCATCAGCAGCCACAGTCCCAGGCGGCAGGGAACCCCGGGCCCCCCCACGCTCCCGCCTGGCACGCTCCCCTGGAAGGTGGAGGAGTTCACGGGGCAGAGGGAAGGCAAGTCCATCCTCCTGGACCCGCCCTTTGTCCTGGGTCCACCGTGGCTGTAACTCAAACCACCATCCTTTCTCAAAGACCCCCTGTGGCTGCCTCTGGGCCGTGTGGCCTCTAACCAGTTCTGGGGGGTGGCCGGTCCCCACCTCGAACTGTAATCTCCTTGATTTTTCGGGTTTTCTCATTGATCCACTTCTCCCTGCGGACTTTCTCGGTGGCGCTCATTAGTTCTTTGAGTTTTTTAATCTCCTGCCAGCAAGGAAACAGGAAGTCCACAGAGCAGCTGTGAGGAAGGGGGGAGACGCACAGACCCCTGCCCTGGGCCACCCCCTGCCCTGCACGCGCCAGTGATCCTATTCTGCCCTCCCCAGACATGGAGGCAGGGTCCAGTCTGGAGGCCTGAGGTGGGGGGGGGAGGAATTGGCCTGCAGAGGCCCCACTGGGGTGTCCCTGAGTCCCCAGCCCTGGCTGTCCCCTGCAGTGGCTGGGGGGGACTTTAAAAACGTTGGTGTGGGTGCCTGGGCAGCTCAGTCAGTGAAGCGTCTGACTCTTGGTTTTGACTCGGGTCATCATCTCAGGGTCGTGGGATCAAGCCCCGTGTGGGGATCCCCACTCAGCACGGAGTCTGCTGGAGATTCTCCCTCGCCTCTGCCCCTCCTGCTTGTGCACGCTCTCTCTCTCCCTAATAAATAAATCTTAAAAATAAAAACAATGCCAGCGTCACGGCCCTGCAGGGTCAGCTCTGGGCCTGGGGACCATCGCCGCCCGCACCGTGGGCGGTGCAGCCGAGGGGGCGCAGCCTATGGACGGCGGCTGCCAGCAAAGCTGGATGAGGCAGGGGTCCGGTCATCGGCCGACAGAGCCAGGAGAAACACGTGCGGCCCTCCGCCCAGGGACCCAGAGCTGCAGCAGCTCAGGCTCGCACACGGGTGGGCAGGCGGTGGCTCCCCTGAGCCCTCCCTCCTCATATGTGACACGCGAGGGGTCCTGCAAGCCCCTCGGCCCCCGCCCCAGGGTCTGGCACTCAGCGGGTCAGAGGGAACTCCAGTGGCAGGAGGGGACCGAGACTGGCGCTGGGGCAGCTCCCCCAATCCCCGGCCTGGCCCACTGGCTGGCGCCCTGGGTGCGGGGCGCAGGCCCGAAACTCTCCCTGGCTCTGAGGCTGCATGGCGGCTCCCGGGGTCTCGTTCATGAGCCCCACGACTCTCACGCTCCGAGGCTGCCCTTTCCTGGGGCGGGCAGGCACGGACCCCCTCCCACGGGGGCTGAGCGCACGGTGGGGCTGGAGGCCAGCTGCAGGGACAGCGGGGGAGAGCCGGGCAGCGCGGCCGAGGGGCTCACCAGCTCGTGCTGCTCCTGCACCTGGGCCTCCCTATGCTTGCACCTCTCGTTCCCCAGCTTCAGCTCTGCCAGGGCAGCCTCACACCTGTCGGCCAGGGCCTTCTTGTCCTCAATCAGCTGCAATCAAGGGCTGGGGCTAGAGCTGCTGGGCAACCACCGGGTGCCGAGAGCCTGCGGGGGGGCCCGGGGCGGGGGCCGCGGCCGCGGGGTGGGGGCGGGTCACGGCGGCGGGGGGAGCACCCAGCGAGGTCTCAGACCAGCCCATCAAACAGTTCCCACAGGGAGGGTGCCGCCCATTTCCACAGAAGGGAGGAGGCCCAGCGAGGAAGGCCCGTGGGCCTGAAGTCTCCGTGAGGCCCAAGCCCGTCTGGAACCCGACGACCCCACGGGCCCAGCTGGCCCTGACCCCTCTCGCCTGGTGCCCCACGGCCCGGCCGGAGGTACCTGGTCGATGAAGGACAGGTGCCGCTGGATGGTGGCCTCGTAGTGGTCCCTCTGCTGGTGCAGCTGCCGGCCCAGCTCCTTCTCAGTCTCCTTGACCCGCCGCACGGTCAGGTCCCGCTGCTGCACCTGTAAGGGGCGCCGGGAGGAGCAGCTGGGCAGGGGGTGCCGGGAGGAGGAGACGGGGCAGGCGGAGGCCCTCCCAGGGAGCAGCGCCGGCCGGACACACCCAGGCTGGTGAGCAGGGCCGGCGTGGTCACGGCCCCCCGCCTGCGCTGAGGATCTGCCGGGCTGGGTCGGCGGGGACGTTACCAGAGCTCTCTGCAGCAGCCCCACGGCCTGCTTCTTCTCCTCCACCTCCAGCTTCAGCCGCATCACAGATGCGCTCCCCATGGACGCGGGCTCCAGGCGCCCCTCCTGAGGCACCAGCCCCTGGGAAGGCAGTGTGCGTCAGGCAGGCCCGGTCACCTGGTGAGGACCTGCTGTCCCTCCCTGGGGCCCCCCCACACCTGGGGCGCTGAGGCCGGCCGGTCCTGCCCCGACTTCTCCACCTCCATCTCGTGCAGAAAGCTCATGATACTCTGCAGCTTGGCCTCGGACAGCAGAGTCCCGTCTTCGGGGAGACCGGTGCACGTGCTGAGCTTCCCAAATTTCTCCAGGTTGTCAGCGGTCAGCGAGCTGGCATCGTCCTCCTACAGGGGAGGGGGCACAGCAGCAGGGGCCGTTGGGGTGGCCGAGGACGCCGGGCTGGGCCTCCAGGAGCCACTCAGGGACCCCGGGGCAGGGGAGGATGGGGAGGAGCGAGCGCGGGGACAGCAGCGGAAGGCGGCCGGACCTGGTCTGGAAGGAAGGGCCTCTCAGGCTGCCCAGAGGCTTGCAGGGCACTGCCGAGGGCACCAGGGGCAGAGAGGCGGCACCCACTCCCCACCCCAGGGTTACTCTGGGTGTCCTAACAAGCCCCATCTGGCCCTCATTAGGGTCCCGACTGAAGCAGGCAGGAGCCCCCGTGACCTGTGTGGACGCAGCCCAGTCACCTCGTCGCTCCAGGAGTATTTGTCCTTGTGGTAGGCCCTGGGGCAGGGCAGCGGCTCGGGTTCCTCTTCCAGCAGCTTGAGTGTGTCCAGCAGCTCATCCAGGGTTGCCCTGGACTCGGCCCTGCCCCTTGCGGGGCCCACCACCTCCAGATCCTCACTGGCCACATCCCGGGAGCTGGCATCCTGCAGTGGACACGTAGGAGGGAGAACCACGAGGCCACTGGGGACCACCAGAGAGCCGTGGGGGGAGGCTGGGGGAGATGGGGGGCCGCGAGAGGGGAGGCCTCCTCCACACAGGCTCATGCCATGTAGCCACGTGGACCAGGCTCATCCAGACCCACCTCCAGGGAAATAAGAAGGACGACTGGGTGGGATGCCCCTGGGCCTGGCCTCCTCGCCCCTAACCTCTGAGCTTCCTGCTCCCTTCTGTAGGCATGCACACGGGGCCCCCACCCCAGAGCATCTGCGAACACCCAACGGCATTCCAGAGCAACCCATGAGACCCCATCCTGCACTGGACCAACAAGACCCATTCTGGGCAGGCTCTCCTGGCACCAGTGACCCCACGACCACAGGGGTCAGGCTTGGGCCACCCAGGCATGGACACCCCCCGAAGCTGAGGCCGGGGAGGGCAGACAGGAGGAGCCGTATGGACACCTGAGGCTTGTCGTCTGGAAACTTCCGGGGCTCTGGGGATGAGTTGGAGGCAGACTGGCAGGGGTCCTCTGGGCCCGCGGTTCGGAAGCCGGCCCCTGCGCAACACAGCACAGCATTGGCCCCCCGCCGCCGTCCCCCAGCTGGGAGCAGCAAGTCTGGGGAGCCCTTGAGAAGAGGCCACACAGGGGAGGCGGAGCACGTGACAGCAGGTGCCACGGCAGACTTCGCGTGGAACACAGGGAACGATCGGGAGCCCTGACCTGGGGTGAAGGGTCAGGGGAACAGGTGTGACCCCAGAACTCCTGGTCTCCCCCATCCAGCTCCAGAAGAGGCGCAGGAGCAGAAAGGCAGGGCCTAAGGGTTTGCTGCACAGTGCAGCAGGGACACAGGGAGCTGGGGGACATCAGCAGAGGCTACAGCCCTCCAGAGAGAAGGGGCAGGGGTGTCCGCGCTGGGCTGGGGGCGGGGCGATGCCCTCAAGGGCGCAGAGCTGGGGCACATGCAGGCTGGCCTCCTGGCTCTGGGCGCTCACCGGCGTTGTTGGCCTTGTGGGTCTGCGGGGTGTGAGTGGTGCCCCCCGGTCTGGGGGCCGGCTCCCGGGCAGGCCGGGGCTTCTCCGGCTCCCGGGCCTCCTTCAGCAGCCCAGGCTCACGGTCACCTGACTTCTGGGCTCGCTTCTGCTGCAGCTCCTGCCGTGAGGAGCACCTCTGAGCAGCCTCGCCTGGACACAGCCAGGCCCCTCGTCCCCCCTATGCCCAGCTGCCCCGGGACCCAACGTCCAGGGGCTTGGGGAAGGAGGGGTCAGGGAAGGCAACAGGCAGGGGTCCCCCAGGGCACAGGGGTTGGACCCAGCAAGTGTCATTTGCTGCCTTGGCACTGGGCTCCCCACGCTGCTCAGGCCACCCCGGGCACCTGAATGGCCGCTCGCCTGGCCTGGCGCGCCTTCTCCTCCCGGACCTTCCTCCTGGCCGCCTCCTTCTGCTGGTGCAGGTCCAGGAGCCCCTCTCCCAGCTGCTGCCGCTGCTCCTGTGGAAGCTGAAGCCACGGCTGGTCTGACTAGGAGGATGGAGTCGCCCAATCCAGACCTGGGCTTCCACAGGACCCCACGGCCCCCGACCTGCGGTTTCTCTGCCCCAGCGAAGACAAGCCTCCCTCGGGCAGCCAGGGGCTCCTCCGGATGGGGAGACAGCCCTGCCTCTTGGAGCAGGGACCTGCAGCCGGAAACCCGCTCGGACTGCTCGGCCCAGGGTGCCACTGGCAGGCATGTCCTGACATCCAGGCCCTGACTCAGGGCAGGAGGGAGCAGGGCCCCCAGACGGGGTACAGACCCATGGGGCAATCCCAGGTTGCAGAAACCCCCGTGTACGTGGCTGGGACCCCTGGGACTCAGGCCTGCTTCCTCAGGGCACGGCTCTCACACGACACTGACCTCTTGCTTGGATGCTAGCAGGTGCTCTCGGCAGGCAGCTCGGGCTCGGCGCCGCCGCACCTGCTGGCGGTACCATCGCTGGATGGCGACAGCGGCCTGGTTCACCTGGTGGATAAACCTGCGGGGGACAGCAGTGCTCAGGACGGAGGCTGGGCCCCGTGCACCCGAGGCAGCTGAGCGACGGCCTCTCCCCTCCGCGTCCCCCCGAAGGCCCAGGCGGGCAGAGAAGCCAACAGCCGCACGTTCCCACAGAAACAAAAATGCCCATCTGCAGATGCTCATCAGTCGCCAGAAATGACCCCGAGGCCCGCGGCTGGGCGGTGGGTGAACGCTGCAGTCCCAACAGTGGAAGCTATTCCCGGGCAGAGAGCCACACGCCAGAGACGGGCCCCAGGCCTAGCGCTCCAGCCAGAGCATTCTAGAAGAGGCAAAGCCCTAAGGGGACAGCTGGGCGAGGCCAGGGTCAGGCCTGGGGAAGCCAGGTACAAGGCCTGCGGGTGGGAGGGTTCTGGGGGTGACAGGCGTTACGTGTCTTGGTGGCTGCCCAAGCTCATGCTGTATCACATGCGAGCATCTTACTGCCTGTCAATTCGAGTCAGAACAGCTGAGTAAACTGGGCAAAGTCTTCCCCTGGGCTCTCCGGACCATTTAAAGTCCCCAACGGAGCATCCAGGACACGGATGGTCGCCGGCCCGGGGACGGGGCAGAGAGGGGCCCTTGCGGCTGACGCCGGGCCTGGGGGGCTCACGGAGCTGCAGGCTCCCGGCCTCACCCGCCCCTCCTCCAGGCCTGCTCCCCAGGCTCTGGGGGGACAGCAGCAGGGACCGTATCACCTGCAGTTCCTGACCAGGAGCAACGCCGCCGTGGCCCGAGGGCCACCGCAGAAGGCGCCGTAAGATTGTTGGTGTTTTCTTTAGTTTGTTTATCTCCCTTCCACTTAATGCTTTTTTAATTAAGAGCTTTAGTGAGCTCTGACGCTGTAAAATTTATCCGTCCTAAGTATACTGTTCCATGATTTTGCATAAACTGACCCGCGTGTATGACCGCCAGTGTGACCCAGGTTTGGAACACTTCCATCACCCGGAGAAGACACCCGCCTCCCCCTGTTGTCCGCGGCCGCAGGCGGCTGGGGCTGCACCTCCGCAGACTTGCCCTTTCTTCACACTTAGTACAAACGGGCCTGGACGACGTGGGCGCTTGTCCGCATCCGTGTTTGAAAACAATTATTCAAGTGGACATTCCTACCACGGGAGCTTCAGGCCCCCTCCTGGCCCCCGGACCCTGGTCACCTCTCAGCCTCCTCCTCTGTCACCTCCTTCCGTCTGAGTGGACCCGGGGCGCCCCCAGCGCTGTTCTGGGCTGCGTGGCTGCTGCCGGCCAAGTTCTTGTGCGGCTTCGCGGAGCTGCTCTCCCCCCCACCGGCGGCCGCCTTGAGGATGTTGCTAACAGGAAAGGGCAGGAAAGGCTCGCGGCCGCCGCCAGGCCCCCTCACAGCCCCGGCAGTCGGCTCGGCCTGCGAGCAGAGGGGGCAGCCGCGGCTTCATCCCAGGGGCCTTGGGCTGGAAGGAGGCACCTGCAGGACGTGAGCAGCGAGCGCCGCCTGCTCCCCTGTCCCGAATGTCAGCCGATCCCCCCACAGGGCCCATTTCGCGGCACCCAGGGCCAGTGGGCTCTTTCCATTCAAAACAGCAAAAGGTCTCAAGAGTCGTGGGATCCCAGAGCCAGACAGTGACCCGAGACACCCCAGGGGCACTCCCTGCCTCCCAGTGTGCAGGGGGCGTGGGCTACACGCGCGGGCCTGCACCAGACTCAGCCAGCGGGCTGAGACTCCAGGGCTGGCTGCGGCCTCCTCGGCACACCGCACGCCGGGGCTGAGCCCCAGGCCCGCCTGACTGCCCGCGCAGGCCCGGCCTGAATGTGGCCTCCCGGTGCCCCTCGTGGGCCAGCCCACCCCAGACCGAGCCAGGCCTTACTTGAGAGAGGGAGCCGTGTGGTTGGAGCTCTTGGGGGGCGGTGCCTTGTCCGGGGGGGTATAGTAGTTGTGCAGCATGCTAGTTACGCAGTTGCCCACCGTGCCCTTGTTGCTCCTGCCGGGAGAGACCGGAGAGGCGTCAGGCTCCGGAGGCGGCGGAGCCCCGGGGCATGCTCACCACGGCATCATCCAAGGGCCCCGGGGGCCCCTCCACGGCCACCACACCGACAGTGGGGGCTTCTCGGGACCCAGGCCAGCCCCGGCCGTGGCGTTCCCCCGAGCAGAGCCCGAGGTGGGCCGTGAAAACCCAGGCCCCTGACAGTGGACACGCCCGCGGGTCACAGACCACCAGTCCACGGAGCACGGGCCTTTCTGTGCCGACGAGACGGGACAGGAGGCACACAGGCCTCTCTGCCCCCCTCAAACCCACTGGAAGGAACACACGTGGACAAAGGGAACGTGGAGGAGAGAGCTGCAAACACATGACCACAGCGTTTTACAGGATGAGAAAGAGAAGGGCCAGTGGTAAGTGACACGGTGAGGCAGGGAGGAGATGCCCGGGGCGCGGGGGCAGCTGCTGTGCCCCCCAGGACCCCACAGGGCGCAGGAAGTGGAGATGCCCAGCTCTTCTAAAGCAGCACTGCGACCCCTTCCTCACGGTCAGCACCCCGGCACCAAGCCCATCCCTCGGCTCCAGACAGGAGGCTGGCTCTCCCGGTGTGTGCCCAGCAGGACGTCCCCACCCCCCACCCCCGGCGGGGCGCACAGCCGGGAGACCAAGACTCCCTCCCGGGAGAGACGAGCAGCCCAGAGAAGAGCCCCGGACGCTGACAGGAGCGGCCCCCAGGACGGCAGCCTGGCCCCTGCCCGGTCGCCCCAGCGTGAGCCGCCAGCCAACTCGGAGGGCCTCCTTCGCAAGTGCTCTGCCAGACATCTGAGGACAGACGCACGTGCGAAGGGCTGACAAACAGGACAGGGAGTCTCCGACAATCCATCCTGGCGACCAGGCTGTGCCAACACATGTTTAACAGCTTGTTCTCTGGGGGAAAAGCTCTTAATTTGTCGCGTTTGCCAATTTCAATATTCCCAGTGCAGCTAACTTGAGACGTGCGCGGAGTCGGGGCGAGCGCACAGCCCGCCTCCTGAGCGGGTGCAGGAGGCCCGGCCGCCTGGTGTCGTCAGAGGGCGATTGAGAACCGCCGCCCTCGGGAACAGAAGGAGCTTATGGGACCGAGGACCACACCACTTGGCCACGCGGGGATGGAGGCAAGAGCAGGCCTGCAGCACGGGGGGGACGCGGGGCCCCCAGGTCCCAGAGCTGAAGGCAGACTGTAGAGTCCATCCAGGAGGCCCGCCGGGCCAGCGACGCGCTCACGGGGGAGCAGAGCAAAGAAAGGGAAGAAAACCGCCACGGAAAACACAGGACAACACCTGCCGGGACCCAGCAGCACGTGTCCGGGACGGGGGCCCCCGAGGCCAGCAGGCGAGTGGGGAGGACCCAGGGCAGAGGGCCGGCACCTCGAGATTCCACACGGGGAAGTGAGGGGGCGACACAAAGTGCTTCTAGAGAGAACACAGGACCCGGAAAAGGACCAGGATCGGCACGGCAGAGGACTCCCCGGAGGCTGTCCTTGGAGCCCGAGTGACGGCTTTGGCGGCTCTGCTGACCAAACTCCGAGTCAGCTCAAGGGTGATGGCATCGTCAGGCACATGACAACCTAGCATCCTCGCCAGGAGCCTGCAGGAGGGCGTGCTCACGGACGACGGGGGGACGGGGGGCCCCCACGGAGGCAGGGGCGGCCAGGATCAGCCTGTGGGCGTGAGCGTGCGGCCCGCAGGGACGGCGGCCAGTCTGACCCGGGGCGGGGGGAGAAGCCAGGCTCCGAGGGCTTTCTCCAGAGCAAGGTGGACAGGGAGGGCCCCTGCTGTCAAGTGTGGGACACGTGGCCAGGACACAGACAACCAAGTGGGAAAATTTAACTCTGGAAAGACAGCAGCCTGTCCCAAACGTCGACAGCCCCCTGGGGCGCAGCACTGCTCTAAGAGAGGCGCACGTCTTCCCCAGGGCGCCCTCCTGACTGCAAACACAGGCAGGACCCTTCAGTGTAAATGAGGGCCCTGCGGCTCAGGGAGGTTAAGTAACCTGCCCCAAGGCCCACAGCAAAAAAACAAAACGAAAAAACCACGTGAAATCAGAATTCGGGCCAGGCAGAGCTGGTGCCGGTCCCCGAGTGGAAACACAACCACAGAGACTGAGGCGCATCCGCCGGGGCGGCCCTCCCGGGGCGGCGGGCGGAGGGAAGACGTGCTCGCGTGCAGCGCGGGCCACAGGAGAGCAAACCCTGCCCTCCACGCGGAAGACAGTCGGCGATGAGCAACACTGGTGTAGCTTTGATATACGCCTCCTAGAAAACACCAGAAACAGCCCGACAGCAGATGCCCCTGGGGAGCAGGACTCAGGGTGGGGAGGGAAGGGCACTGGGTCTGCTAATTTTCATCTTAAGTTTGTGGTCCAGCTCCACGTTTTAGCTGTGTGCATGCGTCACTGATAGAAGTTACAATTAAATTTTCACTTAAATTCTCATGTCAAAAGCAAGAATTCTTGCTGCGCCGACTCTGGGGAACAATCCCGGAGAACCTCTCTCAAAGACCGTTCCTTTGATAAAAGGCTGTCGTGTTGGGAAGTTCTTTCTCGAGCTGAAGCAAATGTATCTCCTTGTCCCTCTGCCCACGGCGAGGGGGACCAGCTCCCCTGACAGCCCAGGGCGGCCATGCCGAGCCCACTTTCCTCCACGGCTTCTCCAGGCCACCCGCCCATCCCGACGACTCCTGGCCAGCAGCCCCATCAGCTGAGGCCGCAGCCTGCCCGGCCCTCTGCAGACCCCACCACGTTGGCCATCGCTCCGCACGTGCCTGGTTCTGTCCCGCTGTGGGCGGCACGGTTGACCAGGGACCACCAGGGCCCGCACGCGGACCCACTGTTGGCACGCAGCGAGCAGGGATGGCCCAGGAAACAGGCTCTGCCCCTCTGAGATGTGAAGGATGAGCCTTATACAGTGGCCCGTGGCCCCACGCGACCCTCACCAGGCCCGAGCTCTTCGGGAGCGAAGCCGGGCGTCTCGGGCCGTCTGGAGGCAAGCTGCCCCGCAGAGGAGAGGGCGGGTGGGGGTGTGCCCCGTCTGAGCTCCCCCCCAGGCCAGAAGAGCCCCTGCCTAGTGTGCAAGATGCCACCCTGCAGCCTCCTTCCCTGGGCCCTTGGGTGGAGAAGCCAGCCACTCATTTCCTCATTCATTCATTCATTCCAGAGCACACAGGTCCTGCCACGAACAAGACAAACAGCGCCCTCCTCCAGGGGCTTCAGATGGCTGGGGCCACACGGAGCACCTACAGCAGGGCCCACCTGTTGTTGGCAGTGAAGTTGGGGGCCAGGGGAACGGTGCACTCTCTCTTCCGTGGGCCCACCGGCGCGTCGACGGTGCTAGGACTCCGGGAGTCGGGTGGCAAGGTGAAGGCCCTGGGCTGGTCGTCCTGTCGGTGACACGGTAGCCACCTCAGACCATGACATGCTGCACAGGCCACTGACCCCAAGCCCCTGGCGTGTCCCCACAGCCTCCCCCACAGACAGGATGGCCCAGGGGGCTGGGAGTTTCTGTGCCCCTCCTCTACCTGCCACGCTGTGATCAAAGCCAGCTAACACTGACCCCCTCCCCACCACTGGCCCCGCCCACGGGTGCAGCCAGAACAAGGCAGGAACGAGGCAGCCCTCTTGGAGGGACACTTAGACTCAGCCGCTGGCCCTTACCAGGACGTTCCACGTGGCTCCCTTCTCGCTGGGAGCCTTGCTCAGACCAGCCAGCCTCTTTCTCCCAGCGGAGCTGCCCTCGAAGAGGGTCAGGAAGTGGGGGCGCCCGGCCGGCCTGTGTCGGGAGAGGGGATGGCAGGCAGGGAGAGTCAGCCCGGGGAGGCCAGCTCCAGCAGCGCAGACGGGCGGGTCTTCCGAGGGGACGGGAGGGGCCAGGTCAGCACAGCAGAATCCTGTCCCCAAGCCCGCGGCTTGGCGCATCATTGCTTAGCTATAATCTGACAACCACGCCTGAAGAAGGGGCTCCCACCCGAGCCACAGCCACCCCGACACCCACGCGAAGGGTGCAGCAGGGACAGAGGGAGAGAAGCAGGCAGGGGGATGCTGGCCTGGGGCTCCGCATCTCTACTCGCAGATACAGCGGGGTAAGATGCATCCTGCCTGCCTGCCCCGCCCCCCCCCACACACACAGGGCTGGCCTGAGTGCAGGTCACATCAGACCCCGGTGCCCAGCCTGGGCCCTACCTAATGAGGCTGGAAGGGGGGCTGACAGAGGCAGGAGAGGAGCGCGCTGGGGGCTACCTGAGGGGGCCGGTCCAGGCCTGGCTGGCTGGCGGCTGGTGGACCTGCGTGGTGCTGTTAGATCTGCGAAGGTTGTTGATGGTTCGGGAACCTCCGGGCCCCTCCTGTAAAAGGAAGAAACAAGCAACCCCGTGGCGAAGACTTCAGACACTCACCAGTTCACGCCGTGCCATGCCAGGCCTCAGAGAACGATTTAGGAAGAGGAGAGAGGTCTCCTGGTTCTCGTGGACAACAGCAGCGTGGGGTCCTGGGCAGGGCCCACTGAACTGGCCCAGGTCCTTGGCCTCTCAAAGCCTCATCTTCCTCGAACAACGTGGGAACCCAGCGTCCCTGGATGGTGAGTGTCTGGGAGGAAGTGTGTGGGGCTTGGCCCGGGGGCTTTGGCAACGGCTGCCGGGCCTGGTCCTCATGGTCATCCGCTACCCTGAGGAGCGTGGCCACCCCATTCCGGCCAAGCATCTGCTGCCGGCCTGCCCACCAGGCTTTCTTCAAGGCCGCTGGAAGCTCATCTCCTCCCCCAAAGGTCACCCTGCTCCTCAAGGAAGCCAATAAATCCAGTGTTGGCGGAGCAAGAAGGACCGAGAGGTCAGTGCCAGCAGGATTTAGGCTCTGCCTCTGGCCAGGCCGACCCTTGACCGACCCTGGCCTTGACCTCTTTGTGAGTTAGGTCTCTGGTCTACGAGCGGGAGTCCCTCCTGAGCTTGGGGCGGCCGCAGGCAAGGACAGGACAACAGACATGGGGGGTGCCTGTGGAAGGGTGGGGAGACTCTTCAGGAGGTGGGGGCAGCGCAGGGGCGGCGCAGGGACACCCACACGCCCCCGGCCCCAGCACTCACCAGCGCCTTCCTTCTCGGCTCACTGCCCGTGACCACGGAGAAGGAGCGGGCGATGGGCTTGGCAGCGGAGGCACTGTTGGGGCGCCAGGTCACAGGTGGAGGAAGGCCGGTCAGGCTCAGGTCCACCCCTTCTGAGCTGCCCTCGGGGGCGCCGGAGGGACCGCTGGTGGCCCGGGAGCCCTTCATGGAGGCTGAGCAGGCCCTGAGCAGGCAAGAAATGCGGTGGGACGCCCTCTGAGGAGCCAGGCCCCCTCACACACCACCTCCCGCCAGGTCAGGGAGCCTGCTGCCAACCAGCCGCCTCCTCGCTGGGTGGGAGGGGGTCCCTTTGTCAGAGCAGGACCCGGGGCCGAAGGGACGGCTCTCCAGAGGGACCCTGCCCAAGGGTGGCCGGCGGCAGCACTGAACCCACCCCCCGGGAGAGGCTTTCCACCCCTCTGAGCGCCCTTCCTTCATCTGTAAGACAGCTGTCACAAAGTGCCTATTCCTGGGGTTGTCCCAAGGCTCGGACAAGGCGGCTGTGAGGCTGGCCTGCAGGAGGCTCCATGGCAGACGCTCGAACTGGGACATGGTCTGAGTCACGCTGCCTGACCCAGGGTCCCCAACTCTGGTCCACAGTCTGGCCATGGAACCCCTGCGCTTCCCCAGAGCCCCCTGGAGCACCCCGACTGGCATCTGCTCCTCACTTCTAGCCCCCCCAGCACCAGCCACCCTTCTGTCTCCCTGGCTACCCCCTCTTCCCAACCCCTCAAGTCAGAGGGTCCCCAAGCTCAGCCCTGGCCTCCTCTCCACCCAGCCTCTCACCTGGGGGCCCACATCTGGCCTCCAGAATTCAAACAGAGGCTGACGGTTCCTGCCCCCTTCTGTTCCCTAATTCCTGACTCAGGACCAGCTGTGCATCTGGCGCCTCAGCCCCAAAAAGACCAAAGGAGAACCCTGACGTCTGCCTCTAGCTGCCCCCTCCCCAGGGGTCATGTAACCCAGACCATTTGTAACTGGCTCAGGCCAAGGACCTAGATCTCATGCCGACATCTTCCCTTCCCCACCACACCTGCTGCCGGTGCCCTCTCCCCATGCACCCCTTCCCTCCACAGCCTCTCCTAGAACCTGGACAAGCACAGTCCCTCCTGCAGCCCCTCCCCACGCGGCAGCCGGAGCTGATCTTTCTCCATCAGGTCTCAGATCACACTGCATCCCTGCCCAAAACCTTCCGAGGGCCCCCCGGCACAGAGAATAAAGTCTAAACACCCAACACCCCTCAGATCTGACCCTGCTCTCTCTGACCTCTTCACTGCCCCCCGTTGCCCCTCGCTCTGCTTTAGCCAAACCAGCCATCCTGCTGCTCCTCAAACTGGGCCAGCCTGTTTCCACCGCAAGCCCCTCTGCCTGGGGCCTCTTCCCCTGGGACGTCCCCGGGCTCCCCTGCACTCACAGAGCCACCAGTCCCCATCACTTTGCTCCCTCCTCCCGCTCTGTTTTCCTTCACCTGGCCACACAGGTCGGTCGGCGTTGTCTCACTCCTCCTAAGAACATCAGCACCACGAGGACAGGGACCATGTAGCCCCGGTCCCTGGCACGTGGCAGGCACTCAAGCAACAGGAGTGGATGAGTGCATGAACCGGCAGCACCAGGAATGACGATGGAGGAAAGAGCGCAGCCCTCCCTGCCACGGAGGACTCTGGTGGGCCAGCAGGCACACGCCACCACCACCCCAGGTTCAGTGCTGCAGCCTCCTCCACAAGCACATAGTGGGGGCCCCCTGGCCAGCGGCCAGCGCCTCTGTTCTCTAGAGTGGAGCACAGAGCTGTCCCTGCCCTTCACTCATGTATTTCCGACTGTGCGGTTGATTTTCACCCCCTCCTCTCCCCAGGTCACTGGCCACACCCAGCCGGACCCAGGCCGGCCGGACCCAGGCCGGCCGGCTGAGCCGCTCGGGCAGCATCAGCGCGCGGGGCTCTGGGATGGTAAACACAGCCTCTCCCTGGAAACCTCCAGGCCAGACCTCGCCTTGCACACGAAGATGCCTGTCCCAGCACCCGAGCCTCTGCCCAGACTCCTCCACACGGGCTGATGCAGGACCCCCGGCCGCTTCTCCACCGAGCAGCTCCCAGTCCCCCAAAGGACTTGGCTCAAGGTGGCGGGGCCCGAGACGGCCGACTGGACTCCACTCCCTCGCGCAGGCCCCCCGCCCGCCCCTGCGCGGGCCCCGCACACCCGCATCCGCGCGAGCCCCCCTCCCCTGCGCGGGGACCCCCTCACCTGCGCGAGCCGGGCCTGGGGCGCGGAGCCTGCGGGGCCGGCCGGCGGGGGGATGTGCGAGGCCCTCCCAGGTGGGACGCCCGGGGCTCAGGCTTTGGGCGGGCAGCCTCGCGCCGCGGCCCCGGCGCCGGCTCCGAGGCCCAGGTGACAATGAAGCGGCCGGGCCGCGGGGCGAGCGGCGGCAGCTAGCAACCAGCAGCCAGCCGGGCACCTCCTCCCCCGCCCGTCACGGGGCCCGCCTTTCCTGCCGCGCCGCCCCCGGATCGGCCGTCCGCTTGCCCGCTCCGGCCGCCCGGAGAGCTCATTGGGCGCCTGGCTGTCCTTCGGGACGCTCCGGCGTGGGAGGAGCCGCGGGGAGTAGAGCCCGCCCACCCCGCCGGGGCAGCGGGCCGTCGATTGGGCCAGCCGGGGAGGGCGTGGCCTCGGCTGGCGCGGGGCGGGACGTGGGCGGAGCCTCGGGGAGGGGAGGAGCGGGCGCGGCGTGGGCTGCGTGGCGCTGGGGGCATCGCTCCCCGGGACCCAGCCGGCCTGCGCCGACACCCAGGCGGTCCCGGGCGCCCGGTCTCTGGTCACCCACGCCGTCCCCGGGCTCCCACGCAGCCCCCGCTCGCCCACAATCTCTGGTCGCCCACACCGTCCCCCAGGCTCCCGCGACGTCCCCGCTCGCCCACGCCCTCCCCCGGACTCCCACGCGCTGCCCGGGCTACCACACCATCCCCCCCTCGCCCGCGGGATTCCAGGCGCCCTCCTGGCTGAGGCACAGCTGGACACGTGGGTCCTGCGGCACACCCCCTCCCGACAAACCTCCATATAGAGCTGGCAGCTGCATGTCCCAGGGGCTCGCTGGTGCCCTCTCTCAGGCAGCCCTGCCCCAGGACGACCTGCACCCGAGGCCCACCGCCCTTCATCTTGTCAGGACCGTGCGGTGGTTTCATATCTCGGTCTATGGTTCAACTGAGATTTTGTTTAAGGTGCGAAGTATGGCACGAATTTTGTGTGTGCGCATGGATGTCAAATTATCCCCGTACCACCTGTTAGGTTATCCTCTCTCCACTGAAGTACCGCCACACTTCCGTGGAAAATCAATTGACCATATTTGCATGGGTCTGTCTCTGAACTGTCTACACTGGCCCACTGATCTGTGTCTGAACTCTCACCACCACCACCCTCCGTTAGTGCTGCTGACGGTAAATGTTCAAATCAGGTAGTGGGAGTCCTCTTTGTTCTTTCTCAAAATTACCTTGGCTGTTCAATTTATTTTAACTTTTCCTATAAATTTTAGTATCAGCTTGTCACCACCTACAAAAAAACCCAGCTGGAATTTTGATGAGGATTATGGGTTTCTTTAAGATTTTGTCAGAGAGAGAGCACACACAAGGAGGGTCAGAGGGAGAAGCAGGCTCCCCACTGAGCAAGGAGCCGATGTGGGACTCGATCCCAGGACCCTGGGATCATGACCTGAGCTAAAGGCAGACGCTTAACCGACTGAGCCACCCGGCGTCCCTTGATGAGGATTATGTTAAATCTGTAGATGGATTTGGGGAGAACTGACGTCATAAGAATGTGAAGTCTTCCAATCCAAGAGCATGGTATAACTCTCCATTTATTTAGGCCTTCGCTGACGTCCTCCATCAGTCTCCTCTATTTTTCAGCATATGGTGTTATTGCTAATATGCAAAAATACAGTTGGTAGTATAATTTACCCCATAGCCTGTGCCCTTGCTAAACCCACTTATCAGTCTTAGGAATTTTTGTAGATTCTATGGGAGTTTCTACATAGACAGTAATGTCTGTGAATAACAGCTTCCCTTCCAATGTATTTGCCCCCCTTTCCTCCTGTTTCATTGAACTGGCCAGGGCTTCCAAGACAATGCTGAACAGAAGTGGTTAGAATGGATAGAACTACCTATCTTGGGGGGAAAGCATTCAGTCCTACACCATTAAGTATGACGTTGGCTCTGGGACCAGGTGAAAGAAATTGTTGTATTTCTTATTTGCAAAGAGTATTTTTCATGAATGAAGTGTTGGAATTTTGTCTCTTGCATTTTCTGCATAAAATGTGATTTTTCTTCATAAATGTGTTAATTTGGTGAATTATACTGATTGACACTCAGAGGTTGAACCACCCTTCATCCCTGGGATAAACTCCACTTATCGTGACGTATTAACCTTTTTATATATTGTTGGATTCATTTTGCTAATATTTTGAGGATAAAAAAACCCCAAAACTTATGTTCATGAAGGATATTGGTCTGGAGTTCTCTTAGACCACGTGCACATGGAACATTCCCCAAGATAAACTATATATTCTGGGCCATTAAACAAACTTCAACAGAGTTTCAAATCTTGAACAATAAAACTGAAGTTATAGAAATATGTTCTGACTACATCAAAATTAAAAGCCTAATAACAAGAAAAAAAACACATTTAATAACCCATTAGACAAAAGGACATCTCAAGGGAAATTAGAAAATATTCTGAACTAAGTAAAAATAAAACTATTATCAGGGGCACCTGGGTGGCTCAGTCGATTAATTGTCCGACTCTTGATTTTGGCTCAGGTCATGATCTCAGGGTCGTGGGACTGAGCACAGAGTCTGTTTGTCCCTCTTCCTCTGCTCCTTCTCTTGTTCTATGTCTAAAATAAATAAATAAAAATCTTAAAAAAATAAAACTATCAAAATTCATGGTATGCAATCAAAGCAGTGTCTGGAGAAAGACAGCATTAAAATTTTTAATGTTAGAAAAATAATAAAGGTCTCAAATCAATCATCTAAGCTTCCACCTTAAAGAAACTAGAATAAAAAGAAAAAATGAACCCAAAACAGTAGGGAGAAATAATAAAGAGCAAACAGCAATGAAATACAAAACATAAAAACACTAGAAAAAATAATACCAAAGGTTTAGTTCTTTGAAAAAATTATTAACAAACTTCTAATCAGACTAACCAAGAGTGGGAAAAAGTCATCAACATGAACAATGAAGGATCCTACAGACAGCCGGCATCTGTGGAACGAACCAGCTCCGTGGAAGACAAATTCCTGACACTCACGTGGGAAGAGAGAACCTGAAGAGCCCTGCACCTGCTTCAGAAACTTAATTTCATAGTTAAAACCTCACAGTTAACATTGAAGGACCAGACGGCCCCGCTGGCTTGTTCTCCCCAGCATTTTCTGACAGGACAAAAGAAGTCCTCTAAGTGAGCCCCTTAATGGTGTTGTCACTGGAACGCACACACACACAGGAAGGAACAACGTCGGCGTGGCTGTGGGAACGCTAGCGTTTACTGAGGACGTTTAGGTGGTGTGACCGCCCCGGGTAGTCTGCAGGAAGCAGGACACCGAGGGGGCAGTGATCTGAGCTCGAACATAAAGACCCAAGCAGTGGTTCCACATCCACAGAAAGCCTTGTTTCTGCGAGGCAGGCGCGGGTCTCCAGGGGACGCCAGAGGTCCACACTGCTGAGGCCCTGCTGTAAGCCTGCCTGCTCTACAGGGATTCAAGTCCAAACAGCTAGCCTCTGGTACAGGGGACGTAGGGGGGAACCAAGGCGGCCCACACCCTCCTCTCTGTGGTCGCCTGGAAACCGTAGCAGCTTGGCAAGGGCCACTGCCTGGGCTCAAGTCTCCTCCTCCTGCGTCCCCCACAGAGGAGCTGGGTGCCCCTCTCCATGTGCCCGTGAGTGTGCTGAGTGAGGAGCCAGGCTTCCCCTCCTGTCCCGTCCAGGCAGGCCATGCTGCACCCTCTGCCCCACGGCTCCTGCTTCCCATCCCTCTGGCCGCGGGGAGAGGGGCCTGTTTGCAGATGGGGCCACACAGATGGCGTGCTCACCCTACCCGAGCAGTCCAGGCCCCCCAGCTGCCCATCAGAACAAGCCACTCAGCTCCTAACTCTGCCTAGAAACCGGCACGGCTCTCCCTGCGGCCACCACGCCCACAAGGGCCCGTGTGTGAGGGGGGTCCGTCTTCGCCTACAGGAAAACGTTTGGGAGCAGGCCCCCGTGGACTCCTTTGCACGGTGTGGCCTGGCTCCATCTGGCTGGTGGACTCCTGGCGTATCATCCAGGCTTGACGAGTGGCTGTTCGTTCGGCTCATGAGCCGCCTGTCCCTCGTCCTCTGCGAGCGAGGGGAAGCAGCCGGAGGGAAAGCAAGGCCGCTGCAGACGCCCAAGGGGAACCACTCCTGGTAGAACATGGGGGCTGTGGGCAAACGGGACAGCACAAAGTCACAGGGTCCTGGGAGTTAGAGGTCGGGGGCCATGAGGACTCCACGTGTGGCCCAGGCTGGCCAGGTCACGAGTTTAGAAACGGGAAAGCTGACGGCTCTGGGCCAGGAGGCTCTCTCACTGCCACCTTCTGTGACAATGTCCAGGGGGCCTGGGGGGCCCCTTCTGTGGTAGTCCCGGCCCCCACCAGGCGGGGACAAGCCACCAGCTCCATTCCAGCAAACAAGGAGCTGCAGCTGCCGTTGGCCGCCGGGCTCTGCAGGCAGCTGCTGGGCCCCAGGCTAAGTTCTGGTGCTCCTTTTGGGGAGCCCGTGCCCAACGGGCTCCACTCAGATGGGGCCCCCTGCTCTCTGGAACCCGCCAGTCTGCTCTCCACCTCCCTGGCATCCCCGGGGACTGAGAAGGAGGAGCCATCCGGGGGAGGAGGGAGCGTAGAGCCCTTGGGCGGGAAGAGGGTGGGACTCAGAGGCTGCAGGAAGGCTTGGCTCCCAGCGAAAGGCACGGCGTCAGTCAGCAGGTCCGATGGGCCCACACGCGCAGCAGTGGGGCCCGGCTCAGCTGGGGGCCTCCGGGCAGGGGGCCGCTGTCGGCAGGAGGCCTCCAAGTGCCTCAGGATCTGGATGTGGAAGGAAAGGGGACTGGCTGAGGGTTCCTGTGCACCCCAGGGGGCACAGAGACACCCTCCTCTGGAGCACCCCTGCCCAGACCTCCTCGTCCTGTCGTCCCCCGCCTGCTTCAACACCAGCCATGCCCTCTGCACCCGCACGCGGCCGCGCCTGCTGTCACATGACTGACATTTTCCCCGTCGGCAAACCTGGCTGCGGGATGAGCCAGCACGGGGAGAGTTGGTTGGGTGCCACGCCGGCACCTGAGAGGGACACTGAGGGAAGAACGGGCCTTAAACCCTCCAGGCCTTCCCCACTGCTGCACAAAAGGCCTCCTCCCGCCTTCTCGTCCCCAGAAATCCCACTATGACTGGGGCGCGTGTGTCGCTGGGTCACTAATTCTTTGACAAAACACAATTGAAAGACGAGCAACTAAGGATCTGAGTTTTCCGCGGGCACAGAAGAATGGAGAAGCCAGAGATGCCAACAGGCAGAGGAGGTGCTGGGGCCTGGCTGTGGGGGCCGCTGCCCAGAGGCTCCCCAGTGCGAGTCAGGCGGCCTGCACACCATTCAGGCATTAGTGGAAAAGGGACTCTAGAAGAACGAAACCGTTTCTGCTCTCCGGGAGCCAGGGAAGGACCTGGGAGCCAAGCACGCGGTGGAGAACAGAAGGGTAAGACAAATCCAACCGAGCAAGCAAGGAGGGCTTCCCACAAGAGGGGGTCGAGTGGTCAACTCGAGTGGTCGGGGGAGCCGCCTGCAGAGCAGAGCTGCTGAGCAGTAAAAGGCAGAGGAACTGGAAGGGGCCAGCAAGCCTGGAGTGCCACGGGCCGGGGACCCCAGCTGCCGTTCTAAGGGCGCGAGCTGTCCCGCACAGCAAGGAGCGGGGGCGCACAGGTGCATCGGGAAAGGCTGGACGGACAGGGGTGGGACTGCTGAGGCATCCCTCACCCGCTCCCCTGCGCCCCGGCTGCTGCCCACCTTGGTGGCCTTGTTGGTCACAGGTCCGGCACTGCCTGCACTGAGCTCCTGTAGCCGCGGCCGCGTGAGGAGCAGGATGTGCTCCTGGGAGAGCAGGTCGGTGCGCCCCAGGGATGCAATGGCCCCCAGGGCTCTCTGCCAGGCACACAGAAGGTCAGGAGGGTCCACCCCAGGAGGGAGGCCCCTCTGACCAGCTCACCTCCTCCTCCTGGCCCAACTGCAGCCCCAAGTTGGGGAGGCCCCGGGGCAGTCCCCCTGGAATCCTGTGCTCATTGCCCCTCCTGCCCAGGGCAGACCCCCCAGTGAGGAGGCCACCAGCTACCCCCGTCCGCTCCCCTGCACCTGCACGTACCGCCTCCCTCACCCCGTGGGCCGGTCCTCACCATCTGCACGCACTCGCTGGGCCCGTCCAGGTGGCGGGTCAGCAGCTCCAACACGGCCTCACAGTTGAGCAACCCACACCTGCAGGAAAGGGCAATCAGGAGGTGGGGTGCAGGCGCCAGGGCCGGGGACTGGGAGCGGGGAGAGGCGGGGGACTCACTCTTTGATGAAGCACTGCGCCTCCTCTCGGCTCAGAAAGGCACGTGGCCCACGCGTCACAGTCTGGACCAGGCTCTGCTCCTGCTGGCAGTCGCTCAGGGTCACGGCCTCAACCCTGTTGGGAGCATAGCGGTCAGAGCTGGAGAAAGACCGCTCCAGGTCAGGCCTCCACCCAGGGTGGGACCCAAAAAGGGACCAGGAGAGTGCCTTATGGTGCCCACTCACCGCTCTGCCAGGTCGCTGGGTGCCTGGCTGGCCACCGAGGGACTATCACTGCCCGACCGACTGCCTGAGTCCGAGGCCTTGCTCTGGTCGCCGTTCTCCTGGGAGGAAGTCTGGGAGCTGGAGCTGCTGTCTGGCTCGTCCCAGCCCCCTCCAGCCTGCCCAGGCTGGGGTCTCAGGACTGTGAGAGACGGGACTGGGGATGAGATTGGGGGTCCTCTGATCCGCCTCATACCCCCCCTCCCCAGGGCACCTGGACCAGGAAACCCAGGGAAGGGCCTGAGCTCCCGAAAAACACCGGGCACGAGGTGACATGGGACAGAGCAGGGCATGCCCGGGACACGCCTGTCCTCGGGCCAGCTCATGCAGCCCCAGCAGCGCCAGGCACCCAAGGCCAGGCAGGTGCGGGCCCGTGGCAGAAGGCGCAGGGCCCGAGTGGGTGGCACTCAATTCTCAGGGAGCCGTGACGTTCTTCCTTCAAGCCTGCTGAACTCCCAGAAGCCTCTGCTACAGGCAGAAATGCAGATCACCCTGACGCCTGTCCTGAGCGGTCCTTCCTGGCCACACACCCAGCTCTGTTATCCACCTGGGCTGCTATCTACTTCCCCCAGTGGGACGGGCGTGCTGTGGAGGCTGGCCCTGGCCCCGGAGTCCCTGCTGTCCTGGCTGAACCAGCAGAAGCTGGGCTGGGGTCCTGGGTCTGTATCTGAGCAGGGCGAGCCTTTGGGAGCCCCACCCGCTCTGGGGCTGTAACACCTGAGGTTCCAGCAAGAGGCTGGCAAAGCACCGTCTGCGCGCCGTCTGTAACTTTCGTATGACGAAGAAACCACCACAGAGACCACAGTAAACACACACCAAGGTGGTGGCAGGCTCTGTGGGGGCGCCACCCAGCCAAGGGAGCATCGGATAGCACGCTGCCTCTGAGTCATGGCAGGACCAGCAGAGCGGGGCTCCCTGAGCCCATGCAGGGCACACTGCCTTCCTCCCCCGCCTCTCGACAGCTGCCTCCCTGAGCCGGGAGCCGGGGGCTCTTGCTACCGAAGGAGTCTTGCCCCTCACTCCCCACTGCCCCCTCTCCCCCGAGCAGAGGACAGGGAGGGGCCGCTCACCCAGACCCTGGCAGGGGAAAGCCAGACCCCCCAGAAGAGTCTCACCACTTCCTCGGGCACCCGGGCGGGCTCCGGAGAGCAGCTTCCCAGCAGCCAGGCCACCGTGGCCGGCTGAAGGCGTCATGGCAGGCTGGTAGGCATCACCCCGCGGCAGGGACCTCTGGGTGCTGGGGCTCTCGGGCCCAGGGCGCACAGCATTGGCCACCACCTCTGCAGCCTTCTGAATGGTAGAGAGAAAGCCCTCGCCCGCAGAGCCTGCACCAGAGGGAGAGGGAGAGGGTGACAGCCCTCCTCGGTCTCGTCCCCCATGCTCTCCTGTGTCTCCTGGGAGGAGGCACTGCTCCCGCTCAGGGCTCGAAAGGTGGAGATCTGAGCTGTAGTTACAGAGCAGAGGCCATGCGAGGGATGCGGGTCCTTCTGGAAGCTTCCCTGGGTAATTGTGCTTCAGTATGTTTCCAGGCCTGATGGAGCCTGAGTGCTCCATAGTTTACGGCAAAGCCACATCCCTGGGTCCCCATGGCCCTGTGTGGGAGCAGGGGACCTCCTAAGGTGCTGCTTGTGCTGGAACTCGCAATCCCCACGGTGGCTCGTGCCCTTTCCCACATGAGTGCCCCACAGGGACCAACCACTGTCACCCCCGCGTTAGGAAGAGGCGAGGCCTCCGAGCCAGACCTGCTTTAGGAATCAGTGCTCCCCAAGCGCTGGGGGGTCTGAGAGCCATGACAAGAATGGGTAGCACGCAGGCCACCGAAGCAGGCCTCGAGTGCACGCCCCGCACACAGAGACAGCTGCTTCCACCCTCGACCAGCACCGCACCTGCTCGGAGTCGCCTCCGTCCCAGCCAGGCCCAGCGCCCTATGCCCTCCGGCCCTTGAATAAGCCAGGGGCTGGGCGCCCACATGTGCTACTGAGGCTCAGCCTGGCTTCTCGCTTGCTGGTGAAGCAGCCCCGCCCTGCCTCGTTGTCCTGCAGACCTGGGCAGAGAAGACCGCGGGCGCCGGGCACATTGGTCCGGCCAGACCGCCCTCCGTGCCTCGGGAGGCCCGAGCTGCCAGGCCTTCACCCCTGCACCCAAGAGCCCCCACAGCACTCACCTGTGTGGCCCCGTTCCTTGCTGTAGCCGAAGCCCTGGAGGGCGCTCTGGGGTCTGGACTGCGAGCCCATGCCTGTGGGCAAGGCCCAAGTCAGCTGCAAGTGTGGCCACCCATCCCCAGCCCTGTGCAGAACAGCAGGCTGGCCAAGGATGGCAGGTGGGGAGCAGGGACCCCGAGCCATCCCCAGAGGAACGATTCAGTGCAAGGGATGGACACGGTCGACTACCTGCTGGAGGCAGGGCCCTGGGCGGCTGGGAGGGAGGTGGAGGTGACAAGGTGTCAGAGAACAGGGCGCTCCCCAAGTCCTAGACGAGGAGAAAGAGGGTGCTCAGCTTGTGCTGTCTGTCCGCTGTCCCCTGTGCCCACGGTTCTGAGGACCAGGCTCAGGGTATCTGGTCCTACAGCAGGAGCAGAGCCAGGGTCCAGAGTGGGGGGAGAAGGAGAAACGTCCGTTGCTGTCCTGGGACTGACCTGAGTCCCAGACTTACCTGGGCAGCCGCCCGCACCTTCTGGTACAAGCTGTTCCCATGGAGAGGATCCGGGGGGCCTGAGAACACTGCAGGCAAAGCCAGAAAGACAGCACTGAGTGGGCACTGCTGAGCCCCCCAGGGGTGCTGAGCCGCAGGCCAAACCAGCCCGGGCACCCCCCCCAGGCCCTAGAGCTCTGACCCCTCACAGGTGACCCCAGCACGCCCAGGGTGCGGGTTAGCTTCCTAAAGCACAGGTCTGACCTCAAATCCCCCGTGTGACATCACTTCCAGATTCAAGTCCCTACGGCAGCCACCGGCCTGGGGAACCTGCCGCTCCCTAGAATACCTCTGCTCCTTCGTCCAAGCCTGGGGAGCCCCCCGAGCCCATCATCCAGGACCCACTGCCCCAGGCTGCTTCTCACAGCCACACCGCGGTCCTGGCCCATGAAGTCCGCACCCCTGCAGCACCAGGCTGCCCCCTCGTGCACGTGCACAGCAGCCCGGCCCGCGTTTCAACCTGCAGAGCGTGACGAGGGGGCCCCTCTCCCCAACCCCACGGCCATCTCTCTCGGCTGAGTTCCTGCCCTGGCGGCCTAGGTACCTCCCTTGATCCACTCTCCACCCAGAGAGGATGCAAGCAAATCTCACCCAATTCAAACTGCAGATTTCCAGAGACTTGACAATAAAACCCCCATTGACAATAAAACCCCCATTCCTTTTACGGCCTTCAAGCTCTGCTTCTTAAAGCGTCAGTTACGGCAAATGAAACTTCCTTAGTATTAAGTGACGCCAGACTCTCCCTGTCTCCTCTGTCACAAACGCGTCTCACGTCCCACCCCCCTGGGGCTGTCCTGTCTCCACCCTGCCAGGTGGCCCAGTGTGGGCACACATCGGTCCCTGGGCCCAGCCAGGACTGACGGCCGGAAGCTGAACCACCAGTGGACAAGGGACGGCACCCGGCCCCTCCTGTGCAAGCCAAGGCGGTCCTCTGCAGGCCCTCCTGCCCCAAAGCCACCTGCTGTCACAGCCCCACCTCCCCACAGCCGGTGGCACCATCTCCCGGGGTCGGCGCTCAGAGGACAGCGGACTGAGACCGCTAACTGGTAGTCGCCCTGTGGCGAGAGAGATTTTGTTGCCAACAGAGACGGGGAGCACTGTGGGCGTCTGCTTCAGAAGGTCTGCGGGAGACCATTAGGAGAGGCAGGGCTCTGGCCTGCCAGGTCTGCCTGCCACAACCTAAGCCGCCCCACCGTGCTCTGGGGGCGGGGGGCGGAGGTGGCGACTTGCACAGGCCACAGCTGCACCGCTGAGACCCCCCGGCCAGCGAGAGTCAACGAGTATGCTGTTTCCGTGCACAAGCTTTGGGGAGCTCACCGGGACAAGCGCAGGCCCCGACAGACACCTGGGGCAGCGTGTGAGTTTTGTGCAGTGATGCTCTCCTGGGCCCTGAGCGCCTACCCTCACTCAGCCCTGCCTTCCGTGAAGGGCCGACAGTGATGTCAGGGTATGGGTGTATCCCAGCACCTGGCGGGTAGGATGTGCTGTGTGAGGGTCCCCTGTGAGCACCAGGTGGCCAAGAGCAACTCGGTCCCCCTCCCTGGTGCTCCCCTCTCAGGGACAGCTCGGTGGGCATAGTTCTTGCCTGGAGGCCAAGCCCTCCCAAAGATTCATTCGGGGCGTATAGTGGAGTCTGTGGGTGCTATGCCCCCAAGACCACCTGCAGCCAGGACTCCTGCCTTACCCAAGGAGCAGGTCTCAGGCCATGTCCCCCCAAGTCCTAGCTAGGGAGAAAGATACGTGACAAGCCCTGGCCTGAGTGGGGGTGGGGTGAGACATGGCGTCGGAACCTGACGGGCCAGAGCCCCACCCCTCCTCGTGGTCTCCCACAGACCTTCCGAAGCAGAAGCCCACAGTGCTCCCTGTCTCGGGCCCTAAGGAGCAGCCCTGGGGAGGAGACCGAGCGCGTGACATGGGAGGCGGTGCAGACGCCTGCTGAGCACCTGTGGTGTGCCTGGCACTAGAACAAGCAGGACAGGTCTGGGCCGCCAAGGCCTGGCAGGGCACACAGGCAGAACCAGGCCACTTTGCCCCGTACGATGGGTGCAGCGATGGCCAGGAGAAGGTGGTGGCTGGGTGTGGGGTGCTGGGGAGAAAACTGGAGCTGCAGGGGGGCACCTCTGGCTGCCCTCCCCCCTGCGCCCGGTACCTGCAGCTTCCTGGATGAAGGCGGGGTTGCGTTTGAGGATGAGCAGGGAAGACGAGGAGCCGTGACCACACAGGTGGAGCAGGATCTTCAGCACCTGGGGACAGTCACATGGGGTGGCACAGGCCCTGAGAGCAGCCTGCACGCATCCCGCTGCGTCCTCCTGCTTCGCCAGTCACTGGCCAGAGCTGGGGCCCTGACTCAGGGGAGGGTCTGCGGGGGCAGCGCAGGGACTCACCTTGAGCTTCACTCGGCCGGAGCCACTGTGCAGACGGTTCAGAAGGTACTCCAGGAGGCACTGGCTGCTGCCTAGGGACTCGTGGGAGATTTCTGGTACACAGTTGGGTTAGGGAAGGAGCGAGCTGACCCCTGGCCACACTAGGGCCTGGCGGGGGAGAGAACCAGGCCCTCCTGCCACCGGACTTCTCGTGAGTCCTGCCGAAAACACCCACCCAAGGCCCTGGTTTCCAGAGCTTGGGGCTTCCAGGGCCTCCTGGGCCCCATACCGTCAGTAATGTGGCTTCTGGACCCACCCACACTTGGTCTTTAGGGTAAAGGAGCTGTGGGACTCCTCCGGACAGGACGAGCTGCTCCAGGGCCCTGCATGTGGGTGACGAGGAAGGATACTAGCGATCTCCTCAAACAAGTAGCCCGGACACGGCACATCATCATCTGACGTTCCTTTCAGAAGAATCGGGAGCTGGAAAGGAGCGAGAGCCCTGATGAGTGAGCTTTACAGGGATCAAACGGAGACACCCGTTCCCACCTCGTTCCGCATGGGGTGGGGGGAACGTGAGCCTCGGTACGGGGGCAGGACGCAAAACCTCAGCAACACATAGGTCGACAAGCGCGTGGATTCTGCGAGGTGCTCACTGCGGACTACGGTTTGAATTGCCGCTGTCCAGTGTCACAAGGACAGATGCCTGGAGATCGTGTGAGGCTGTGTGCGTGCCCTACTCACGCTATTTGTCCGCCAAAGGGGAGCTGGAGAGACTCGTAGAACCGTGACACCCTCAGCACGGAGTGGGAGGGCACTGCTTCAGGAGGACGGCCCAGCCCCGGGAACACCTGCCTGGGAAAGCTCAAAGCCACCAGCAGAACCTGCTTTTGTCCTGGCCAACACCAACGACAAGCCCCCGCCTCCGCTTCTTGGAGCCTTTACTGGAAAGGCTCGCGATTGTGAACCCGGGTCTCCTACGAGCCAGGGTTGTCTTTCTCAAGGGCCTGAGGGCGTCCCTGGAAACTAAGGACTAGGAAGGACAGGGCCTGTCTCCGGGCCGGCGCGGGGTGGGATCCTAACCACACACAGCTGCTGGGTTGCCCGGGCGCTGCGCAGCCCCACCCCTCCCTCAGTCCTCCTGGCACAGACGGGACCCGAGCTCAGGGCTCTCCCCCGGGCTAGGGACGTCCCGGGTGTCCGGCTAGGTTTACGGGGGACACTCTCCGCGGCTGGGTTTTCCTGCAAGGCTGCTCTGGGCTGGGCAAGAAACCAGAAACCGGGGCCCCCAGCCGCCTTTCCAGTTCGGGTTCTGCTCCCGGGGCCGCACTGCCCCAGGTGAGTCGGATGCAGGGCCGGCGTGACCTGCCCACGCCGCGTCCGCGGGGACGGAGAGGGCCGAGGGGGACGGCAGGGTCGCCGGCGGGGACCGAGCGGGCGCCCGCACTCACCCGGTGCAGGAAGCTCAGACGGTCCCGCAGCGGCGGCGGGGACGCCATGATGCCGGTCACCTTCCGGCCCCGCCTGCGGCCCGGCCCGGACCCCCTCCAATCACCGCGCGCGCCTGGCCCAGATGGCCAATCGCTCGCGCGGGGCGGGCCCCGGCGCCCACTCCGACGAACAACTTGAGCCTGAGCCAATCCGAAGTCCCAGATCCAAGACAGACAAGCCCACGAGCCACTTGCAGAGCTCGGGGAGACCGGGCGCCGTCCCGGAAGAGGGGCGGGTGCTGGGGGGGGGTGCTGAAGCTGGGCCAATCAAGAAGTGCAGGGAAGGCTGCGGGCGGAAGGCGCGCCCATTGAGCCCCTGGGCGCCGGAAGAGGACGGACCTAAGGTGGCGGCGCCCCCGGGTGCCGGGAGGAGCCGCTCATGTCGGGGAACGGAGCGGCGTGGGGGCGCGTGCGAGGTCGCCTCCGCGCCTTCCCCGAGCGCCTAGCGGCCTGTGGGGCCGAGGTGAGGAGCTGCCGGGCGGGGCGGTGCCTACGGGACAGGAAGGGCCCGCGCGGCGGGGCGGGGCGGGGTCTGCCCCGGGGACCGGCGGGCGCGGGGGCCGCTGCGATCCTCGCGCGTCTGCCCCCGCCCCCAGGCCGCGGCCTACGGCAGGTGCGTGCAGGCGTCCACGGCCCCGGGCGGCCGCCTGACGAAGGACCTCTGTGCGCGGGAGTTCGAGGCCCTGCGGAGCTGCTTCGCCGCCGCGGTAGGTGGGCGCCGCCCGGGGCCTCTCCCTTGCCCCTCCGCCTGGGGAGGGACAGCGGGCCCCGTGCGTTCGGCGCCGGGCTCCAGCCGCCGCGCAGCTCGTGTGCCCGCGTGAGTCCGCGGAGGGGAACTTCAGCCCCAGCGCGAGGGTGCGGGCGGCGGCGGCGGGGGCGCCTCTGACTCCGTGGGGGGCCGTGGCCTGGTGTCCGCACAACCCCGGGCCCTCTTAGCTTCCCGGGTGATTAGGGACGCACGGGTGTGCTGTGCGCGCGGCCAGAACCCCGGGCCAGCCAGCACGCCCCGAGGGGCACCCCCGACGGCCCGGAGGGGCGGGGGGGAGCAACAGGTCACTGTCCTGGGCTTGTCAGTCCTCACCGGCCCGGAGCGCGCCGTGGTGGGAACGGCCGGCCGGCCTCTTGGTGCTGGACTCGGACCGCTCAGCAGCACGTCCTCTCTGTTTCTGAGGCATCTTCTGATTCCTGTTGGATCAGGTGCTGAGCCGGTGAGAGTTGTGAAGATCGCCAGCCCTGAAGTGAAGAATCAGTGTTGCGTTACACGTTTTCATAAAGGGTGTGGAGCAAGTAGGGTTGGAGGAGATGCAGACTCGCGAAACCTAGATGGGAGTTCCAGACGGAGTGAGCGGGGGGCTGCCGCGATGCGGTCCTGGGCTGGTGCCCGATCCGGTGGGTCTGGGTTGGGCCGTGATCAGCTGTGTCCCCCAGAGCTGCTGGTGCAGAGACCCAGACCGCAGACCCGGCAGTTGGTTGAGCTCGGCAGAAATCAGGGAGCCTGAGGCCATTTCCTGACCTCCCGGGATCATCGTGAGCAGCGTGGTTAGCTGTGGCTTAGCCGCTTCTCCAGGGAGAGGACAGTGCACACGCTCCCTTCGAAGCCCGGGGGCTCAGAGGTCTCTTTCTACCTCCCTCCTGATTGTGACAGCAGAGACACTCTGGCCTCGTCCTGCCCCCACCCCCAGTCAGCCCTCGTCACCAGCCTTAGATCTGACGTGGGCTGTTCACCCAGGACCACACCTGTCCTCTTGGCAGCTTCCTTGTACAGCCAGAGGGCAAGGGGTTACTGCCTGGAAGAATTTACATGTCAGTTACAGGTCTCTCCATACCACCTTTTGTGGTTAGGAGTTACTCTGTTACAGGCATTTTTACTCGCCTTTGCTGTGATCACATAAAGATGTCCCCCCACAGTGTGGGCCCCACGCTCAGGAGCTGTTCCGCGTGCTATGGTCACGGAAGGTGACTTAACTGCGGGCCCGGGGACCAGCTGCTGAGTGTTTCTCACCACGAGGACAGACACGGAGGAGCGCGTTTTTCCCATGCTACTGTAGTCCACGGCACTAGTAGGGAGCCACGTGAGGAGGCAGAAAGGGCGATGGGCTCCCGTCCAGCTCTGTCCCAGGAGCCCTGTCTCTGGGCAAGTGTTTCGCCGCAGCGTTCTCTGTAAGAAGCTCCCACTGCCTCGCGAGCACGGAGCACGGTTTGTTGGGGGTTTGTCTGCACAGTGCCTGGCCCAGGGGGGGCCTGGCTTTGGGGGTGCACGGCCACGGAGCAGATAGAGCCCCCTGGCCTGTGGCAGCTCCGAGCAGCCAAGCTCCCTGCCGCGCATCCATGCCGCCGGCATCCGTGGCTGGGCTCTCTGTAAGGTATTTGCCATTAGAGAGCATTTCGTGGGGTGGTTTTCTTGCTTTGCAGTCTCGTCTAACTAACCTGTTCACACCAAATCCTTTATCTTCCAGGCCAAGAAGACTCTAAGGGGAGGCTGTTAGGATGGATGAGCCAGCAATGCACTTCTGTTTACTGCCTCAGGGAGCAGAGCCGGACGTCCGGTGCTGATGGCCCCAAACGGCAGATGTCAAAAACCTCTAAAGCCTGTAGAGCTGAAAGGACTTCGGGCGCGTCAGGGCGAGTTGTGGACAGAGGGCGAGTTGGTTTTCCTGCATCGTGTGCCTGAGGATTCGGGTTAGAGTAAGACAATGAAGCAACAATAAAGACCGTGGCAGACCACACAAGAGCTCTGTTCTGTTGTACGCAGAGTGCGCCTGGGCCGTGGGAACACACTGCTCAGGGCTCTCACTTTTTAAGGAATTTGTATTCAAAATACCTTATCTGAACCTAACAGAGCCAGCAGATGTAGCTACTCGTTTATAGGACGTACCAGAGAATAGAAGTACAACCATGCCCTGAGCAAAAGAGCCACGGGTAGGGAATCCAACTCAGGTGGTTTTTCTGGACTTGGAGGCAAAAAAGGAGGGGGCTGCCCTTTTAGAGGCGCCAGCCGGCCAAGGGAGGGTCCGGCTTAGGAGGCCAGTGCCAGTGACTCCACGTGGGGCACTTGCCTCTCTGCAGCCCCCTCAGGTCAGAGCCCAATCCCTCCGGACTTTCCTTGTACCCCACCCCAGCCCCTCGACCTGAGAAGGAAATCAGGGGTGCAGCATTTTTCACACACGCGCATACATACACATACCCAGCACGCGGGGCCCAAGGATTCCACAGGTCCTGAGCGCCGCCTGCTGGACGCCTGGGGACTGTGCTCCAGGAGCCCCTCCCAGAAACATGGAGGTCACCCTGCCCTTGGGCTCCGGGTCCAGCACCCACGCATTGATGGGGGGCGGTCTGCACCCTGGTCCCACACACACCAAGGGCCGGAGCAGGAAGGGGCGGGCCTGGGAGCCGAGCACTCACCACGCTTCTCCCTCACCCAGCCTCCGGGGTGGGCTTCTCCAGACCCTCATTCTCCACTCTGACCTTTGGCAGCCTCTTACGGGGAGCTTGCAGGTCTCTGCTGGGTACAATGACTCCAGGCTCCTTCCAGAACCATCCCACCAGGTGTCCTGCCCCCATGTCTCCCAACTCTTCACCAGCCTCCTGTGTCCCTCCCTCGGGCCACGCACCAAACTCCCTTCCAAGTTCCTTGGCCTTTGCCCTTGCTCTCTGGCTTCCCCAGACTCACACCATCTTCAAGACCACGTTTATTGAGAGAAATGCCACCGAATGGGTGTCTGGATGCAGCCATTCCTGCAGCTGCATCATCGCACACAACTCTCGTGTGCCCTGTACCGTCATCTTAGTCCTCAGGCAGCATCTGAACCCTGAGGGCCTGGCTCCACCGGGTTTCCATCCTCACTCCTACCTGCCCCTATCGGGGCTTGCCAACCCTGCCCTGGAACGGGCGCCCTCGCAGGCAAGATCCTACGCCAGCCGCCCGCTGATGGCCATACTTGTTGCTGCTCCACCTGGACCGCTCACTGCACCCGCCATCTTGGCGCCGGCCGTCTGGTCAGAAAGCAAACGGCCCCCAGCCCCTCCAGCTCCCTGTGGTTCTGGCAAACTGACCCCACACACAGGTCTCAGGTTCTTCCCTGAGGGGCTGCGGGCTGGGGAGGCCGGGAGAGTGGGAACTGAGACAAGGACCCCAAGTGTCTGGGGGAGCCGGGGCTGGGTCCCCCCGCTGTGAGAAGGACGTGACCTTGTAGATGGCAGGAGGATGGCCTGACCTCCGGAAGACAAGAAGCTTGGGTCAAGGGAAGACATCCAGGTAAATGGCGTCCAGAAATAGAATCCCACTCTAAAAATTTATTTACAAATGGAATTCCAATCTTAGGGAAGCGTCCAGAAGGCATTTTCCCACTGAGCATGATTCATCTGGAATTGTTCTTAAGCACAGGAAGCACCCCAGGACCCACCCCCCTTCCTCGGGGGCCAGGGGGTGACCATCGGCTCTCCTGCTCCCTGAAAACAGAACACCGCAAATGCCACCCGGCTGCTCACAGGGTCTTTCTGGGGCTGCGCTGCCACACCACCGCGAGGTCTGGTCAGCAGATAGCCTTTCACGACGGCCAGCATGGCACCACGCTAGCTGCATGGACCAGACATTGTGACACTTCTTATTTGTAAAACAACTTTATAGTTTGGGAAAGCGGAGGGAGCGCAGAGAGCACAAGGACCGTGACAAAGGCAGAGGCGGGCGCCTCTCGGGCAGCTGACCCCCGAGACGCCCACAGTCCCGGCCCCGCAGACACCAAGCCGCGTCCACCGAGCAGCCGCGTGGAGGCAGAGTTCATTACGGTTCTCCATGATGCCTGGAACATCACAATCATGACGACCGTTTAGAGCAAGCGGGAGTCCGGCACACGGTGGGCTCTCACCGCAGCCCGCGTCAACATCAGGGCCACACTCCCTGGCTGGCCACTCCCGAGGCCCAACCGGACGCTGCGTTGTCTGAGTCCTGGTGAGCTCAGTCACTCGGACAAGTTTAAGATGCGGGATGGAGAAGGCACAGGCCATCTGGACAGCGAGGCCATGGTGAGAGGCCTTTCAGACCCCCAGCCACAGCGTGACCTCTAACTCCGCGCCCACGTGGCCCCAGCATGGCTGGCTGAGACCCGCCGACCAGGAGGACCGTGGCCATTAGGGGCTGCTCAGGGCTCCTCCGGGGCCCCGGCCAGCTGCTTCACCTGGCGGCCGTGGACCACCCGCAACGCGCCCCCCGCAGCCTGGTGGAGCTGGGTCTCCAGCGCGCTGCGCAGGTCATTGACCTGCACGTCCGGGAGAGGGTTAAAGCTGATGATGACCCTGTCCCTTGGGGCCGGGTCCCCCCCTACCCCAGGAGCCACATCCCGCCGTCTCCTCCTAAGGTCAGAACCGGCCTGGACTTTGAGTTCTCGGTTGGGTTTGGCATGGTCTGGCTTCTGAGCCCCAGGGATGGCTGGTTTGGGCCCCAGATCAGGGTCCTGCCTCCGTTCCAGCTCTTGGACGGGAGCATCCTCCCCCAGAGCAGGCGCATGGTCCTCGCCGATGGCCTCCTTTCTGGCCTCCAGGTGACCACCCTGCTGCCCACCCTGACCCCCAGCAGAAACGGCCTGGTGTTCCAACTGACGAATCTCCGCCTGGGCCCCAGGGGCTGCTCCTCCCAACCTGCTGGACAGGCCTGCAGGTCCCCGGTCTCGGCTCACTGGCTGGGACCTCACGTGAGGGTCCCCACCCTCCCTCGCCCCCGGCACATCTGCCTCCTGAACGTTGGCACTGGTGGCCACCTCTTTTCGGGATTTCTTCCTCTCATGGGAGCTTCTGCCAAAAGCGTCCTGACCCTGCTCGGGGAGTTCACCGGCGACGAGCTTCTCTGGGCTCCTGGGCCCCTCGGCAAGGCCGGGCACAGGCACTCGGTCTGGCAGGCCAGCGCCAGCTGCGGGCACCACGCCCTGCCGGCCTTCCCTCGGCTCAGCCCGGGCTGCCCGGGGCTCCGTGTCGGAGGCGCCAGGAGGACCGGCTGGAGCTCCGCCCACAGCCCCCTCAGGCTCCCCCACGGCGCGCTGGCCATGTCCCTGGGGCAGAGCGGGGGGCCGCCGGGGAGCTCCAAGCGCGGGTTCCAAAGGCTGCTGGGGGTGGTGCTCCACTGTCCCCCCATCGTGGGCCTCCTGCTCCTTACCTCTGGGCACGGCCACCCCAGGTTCTGGCTGCACTTCAGCTGCAAATGAAGTAAATCACCAGTTTAGCCACAGAAATGAACTGAAACTACCAACACAGGGACTAGAAACGTGAGCTTGCCAGCAATTGAACACTAATCAAAAACTTTGCCCAGCAAGACTCCAGGCTCCGGAGCCACAGATCCAGCCACACGGGGTCACCAGGAGACACGGCGGGCGGGCACGCATTCAGTGAGGACCCCCTTCCCCGGCCTGGCCCCGACTTGCCCTCCTCGCTGTCCTGCCTCTGCTGGTGGATCTCCTTGTGCTGCTCCTCAATCACCGCGAGCAGCTTCTCCTGCTGGTCCAGGAGCCGCTTCTGCTGCACCTGCTGCTCTTTGATCACCTCCAACAGGACCGCGTGGTCCAGCATCTCCGCCCGGCCGGCTGCTGGCACGGGGAAGACGCAGTCAGAGCCTGCCCCCTCCACACAGGCGCTGGGCTGGGCGGAGGGCGGTGTGACACGCAGTGACAGCACCAGGTCGCCTGTGGGGCCCTCCCCGGCACACACTTCGCTCGCCCTGGCTCACGTGGGCCTGTGGTGTAGACACGCCCAGCGGGGGCCCAGCTGCTCAGACGGTGGCCCGCTGGGAGAAACACTGAGAGAAGCCACAGGGGAGGTCTGTGCCACCGTGAGAATGGCGGCAGTGCCCTGGGCTGGGTGGCGTAAGCTACAAACTACTCTAAAAACAGAATCCCTGCGCTTCGAGAAAGCTTCCTCCACGGTGAGAATTTAAGGAACAAACACAACTGCTTTCCTCTCCAGCAGAAACCAGAACTGGGGCCTCGGGGAGGCAGAGGCCAGCTGCTGACACCCGAGGGTCCTGACCCTGCTCCTGACCGTCGCCCGGGAGACTGGCCACGAGCTGGCACGGGGGAGGGGGGGCGGGCAGCACAGCAGGTGCGCGTCAGGGGCCCGCTCTGCTCTCTCCGCACCCCCGCCCCAGAACGTGGGCCCAGGAAGAGGCCCCGAGTCTGAGCGCCCGGAACCGGCAGCGGCCACCTGTGGGAGCACGGGGAAGCTCGCCTTTCACTACCAACGCCTCAGCACCGGGTCAGCTACGTCCCACGAGCAGCCACGGCTTCCGTAACTGCTACAACGTGCAGGTCTTTAAACAGGAAGCCATGAAAGATGACGTGAGCAGTTAGGGCTGCTGGGTGGGCACGTTCAGAAGGAAGGATGTCCTGGGAGTGGTAACAGCACACACCCGGAGAGGCCCACACGCTGGGCACACACAGACGTGCTGGCCCGTCCTCCCCAGTGGTGGCCCGTGACCTGCCACAGCAGAAGGGGCTTGGCCTCCCCACCCCTCCCCACCCAGAGGCCTGTGAAGAATACGCTGAGCCAGACAGCAAGGAGGACGAGGCACACGGAGGACAGGCCCCCATGCAGCAGTCCCTGCTCCCCAGCCGGCTCTCATCCAGACACCCTAAGGTCACGAAGACGCCTGCCTGAGAAAGGCCACATCCTGTGGACCGGATCGGGCTCCGTATGAGGGAAGTATGCTGCGCTATCCCCCCAGGTCTCCGGACCAGTCACCTCGGCC